AAATATTACGGAATAAAACAAAATAAACAAGAGTAATACTTAAAGAGATAAATAATACAACATATTTCCTTGTTTTGCATAATTTCTTAATTGTTTTCTCACGTTGAAAAGTTCGATAGAAATTGAAGATTAGAAAGGACGATACAAAAATATTTAAAGGTCTTACATACTGTATTTCATCTATGTTTCTACGAAAGATTGCTTCTGCAAAAGTATGAATAGACTAGAAACGCAGTATAAATATTGATTGCAATTTAATCGACCGCAACTATCAAACTGCAAAAAATTTCACAACTGATCATAGTGCAAAGTTAGTTGTATTTGTCATAACTGGGAATACTGCAAATATTATTATCAAAATAAAGTCAATGAGTGACTTTTTCGGCAATCTCTGCATTATCATCCGAATAGGGGCAAGCAACCCGTCATACTGACCTGTATGTTGCTGTTACACCCTGTACATATACACGTACATGAAAATGTGGAGAAAGCAAAATATAGAAAATATATAATATTACACGAAATGCTCATTGAATGTACGCATTTATATCCTTGCACTGGATACATTCGCGCTAAACATTCCTCTTGTACCTTTTTCTACAAATCATCTTACGATATGTAACTTCTTTTTCAGATAAAATTGGTATATCGACAGACTTTTTATAAACATTACAATAAGGCTAAGTTTAAAATATCAGATTATCCTATCAACGTCACATGTTATCTATAATTATCGAAGATTATTCAATATTTACGGAACAAACAAAACCAATTAATTCCTCGTAACTCGATTTAAATACCGCGTACGAATACGGTATTTTACCAGATGTATGTACACGGTACATTATTAATTTTTAATGTGTACTGTAATTATGATTATAAAACACATACTATATAATTATAATTATTAATATATGTCAATATGGCGGCTATTACCTAGGCAAAAAAATATATTACAATAATCTTCAGAAAATACATGTATGATTTATTATACAAATAACCTTTCCTATGTTTATGAAGGAGAATTCTCGCATTATAATTCTTATATATTTTCATATATTATGTTATATACTTCAATATCTATATATTACGTGTCTTTATATAACATTATATATATATATATATATATATATATATATATTCTTGAGACCAAGTAGAATAGAAAAGTCTAGTACCATTTTTTATGTCGACAAACAGTTAGCGAGATATCGTAAGTTAAATATTAAAAAAGTTACCAAGTTATCCTTAAATATCTCAAAAAATATTAGGCAAATAAAAAAATATTTCAGACAAAAGTTATTCAAATTAATTGGTGGAAAAAGACGGTGTAATAAAAAATTAGAATTTCCATTTAAGATTTTTATGTCAACCTTGATAACGTTTCTCAAGGTCATTCCAAGGTCAAACAAGGTTTGACAGTCAAGGTCAATTATCAATATCTGATAGCTTTTTTAAGCCCTACAACTTTTGTTTCAAACATTGTTTTAAACAATCATTATCTTTTGAAATAATTAGCCGTTCCGGAACTTTTGGCAGACCCTGTATATTATCATATATGTATATATCTCATATATATTTTTTCAGGAAACGATACATGTATACTTCTGTACAGGGTATCCGATTTTAATCTATCACTCCTCATAAATTTGCGGTCGTAGAGAAAACCGTTTCAGACAAAAGTGATATGGTTTTAAAAGGGACGTAAAACTACTATATCAGTTTGTTTAGAGAAGATTCCACTTTCGAGATATTCACTGATCATTATTTTTCTTAAACGGAAACCTCAATTTTGTATCATATCATCTTTTTCTATCAATTAATTTTAATAACTTTTGTTTGAAACAGTTTTCTCTACGACCGTTTCCTGCAAAGGGTGATATGTTAAAATTGGACACCCTGTATATACATATTTATGTATATGTAGAAAGGATGGATGTCTCTGAAATCGAACTGTAACGGTATCAGTATATCTCGTCTCCGGTTCGTCGGCTCACTCGATTATTCGGCACATCTCCCATCCGTAATTCGAAATACAGCACCTTCTTGTGAAACCACTAATGCGATTACAAGATTGCTCATCGCGGATTTATCGGCCCTCTAAATCGGATGATCCGCGCTTAAGTGACTTACTGTGCTAGACTACAATGATAGACTAGTGATAGACTACAATGTATACTACGTGACTTTGTGGATGGACATTAGCAAGCGATAAAAAATGCAGTTGACTTTCAATCGTGTGCATTAATATAAACGAGCTGCTCAGAGAAACAAATAGATCAGTTAGATGCTACATTTGAAAAAAAAAATATATCAATACTAATTGTGACTTTTATGCCAAGGTAAACGCAAAAGTTTATAAGCGCTAGCATGGTTCACCGATATGATGTCATGAATTAAAATTGATCTGCAAATATAAATAACGGAAAATATCCAAAGTACAAGATTGCGATTGCGCAGTAATTTTTGCAAATTATCGACAAAAAATACGACAAGCGCGTGGAGGAATAAATAATTCGTTCATGATTCAGAGTAACAGATATTTTTATATTTTCGTTTGATCGCACTGCGCCCAAGGGGACACGTCTTTCAAATTTTGGATAAAGATTTGGATCTTTCGGATATCTCCAAGAAGCACTTTTTTTAAAAAGTATACTGTCCATTCTTAAAAAGCATATTATCCAATAACCGTTAAAACTTTCAACTTTAAACTTAAGCGGCTCAATAATTCTATTGTACAACATTCTCACCTATTCATTCGAACAGCGTTTACTTTGCGATAAATTAAACGGGCCTCGAGGCTGAGTATCATGCACATTTCCGCATTCGTCGGGTGTACATTTACCGTTCATACGATGGAAAATTCAACATGTAACCTTTGAAATTCATCTATCCTCGAGGCTATTTGCCACGTTTCATCTTTGCCAACTCTCACACATGCACACTCACTGTCCTTCCCTCAACACCTCCCTCCTCCCATCCTCATTTTCTCCCCCACTCTCTTCCCTACCCCGCACCCAACTCACCATATCCTCTCCTCTCGATTTCATCATCCTCCCAATCTTCCGCTCCTAATATGCAAGTAATTATTTACGATATATGTTTGCCTGCTAAATACAAGTGTATTCAAATATAGCTATCATGTCACGATTAAAGAAAAAATATATATAGAGTAATAAAATATAGAATAATAAAGGATTAAAAAAATAATATAGAGAAATAAAAGAGGCTGAAAACGACAAGGAGTTTCTCTCTTCCCGTCGCTCTCTATCCCTCCTTGTACTTTCTCTTGCTCTATTATTCCCTCCCCCTTCCTCCCCCACCCTTCTCTCCCCCTACCTCCCTCCTTCTCTCTTTCGCTCCGACTCTTCTTTCCGCTCCTGTTCCTTCCCTCACTGTCTCCCTTTCCCTTTCTATTTATTCCTTTCCTTTAATGAGAATTAGTATTATAAAAAATAGAATTTTGTTATAAAATGATGCGAACAGTTACGTTCTAAGTTTGAAAAACTTTAACCTGGTATTGATGAACTTTGCATGAAGAGTCGATCTCATAATACTATTCGTATATTATAATATTAATTAAAATTAGAATAAATCCTTAGCTGGTTAGGAGGACATTGAGAAAGCGTCTCGTATCGGAGGATCCACTTTCTAAATTTATTATTTTTCCTCAATTAAAAGAAGCTCGTGGATGTCCTTCACGAGCATGAACCGTTCATTTTTTCATACACGAAAGCAGAAGTGTGACCGTGAATGGCAACATGCGCTGAAAGCATGTCCCCGAATCGAGAGACGGGAAAGCGTTCCTCGGACGACCTTTTCTCATGCTTCTTCTCTTTCTTTTATATTTTCTTTGCGCGTCCTTACGTGACGGCAATCAGTCTGTTAACTAGACATTAAGGTGCAAAATATTAATCGTATAATAATCCATCGTCGAGAAATTCCTCGATAACACCACTCGATAGAGAAGGAAGGACGAACAATCGGGAAGGAAGCAGACAATGCGAGTTACTTAGGGCAGAAATTATAATCGTTAAAGATGTATGGTTGCAATAAATCTCATTCCGGTAAATTTGTAACATTTGGCTGAACGTCAAATTGAATATATAGAAACTGTCGGCAACATTACAGACGCACGTGTGTATCAACTAATCAAAAGATCTTTTAATTATCGCTGTAATTATATATGCGTTACAATTGTTACATTACACAATGTGATGCATTACAATGTATTATATTGAAATCTAAAAGTAAAAAATAAAAATGGTACTAAAAGATCGACCTGATAAAATCTAGGGAATAACACAATTTTACCAGAAAGTCACAATTGATACTTCAGAATTGCTGGCAATCGTCGGAAAAAAGCAGTGGCTGCGCATTACATTAAAGTAAAACAGGAGACGAAAATGAAGAAACAAACTTCGTTAGCAATAGTTTTTTGTCCCATTATGATAACGGAAGTGTATCTCTATTACTTTTGATGTCAGAATTCGATCATTCTGACAGGATTCGCAATTCTGTCTGGGAATTTCCTGGGAATTTACGCGAACGATTTTCGGGTCGAAGAACACACGCCCGGAACAACCACCGTCATACGGTCAATATTTTCGCTAGTGCTAATTATATCATCGTGATGATTAGCGTGACGCGTATATTTCTGCGAATATTATCAAACAAATATTGCATACTAGCGATGATTGCACACGCGCCACACACGCGCGCGCGCGCGCACACACAGAGTCACATACATATGCACGAAATTATTGTGCAATTTGGCTGTCGGAGCAGCTGAAAGGAGATCCCAAAGGAGTCCCGGGCAGTCAACGAAGGCAAAGACCATTTCGCTGTTAGAGACCGCCAACATGAGGTAGATCGAACTTGGGACCTTGTGTCAACTATCCCGAATCTCGAGAGAGCTCGGCAACAGACAGAGCGGACGGTGGCTCCCGCGCCACTTATGTCATCTACGACGAATGTTTTTGGCGAACGTTCAAGGGACTCACCGAGAGTAGACAGACGTGTCGTTTCTCCGTAGCTCGGCGATTCGCCGCCCCGCTTCCTTCTGCTGCTGCACTCTGCTCCACTTCGTCTCACTCCCTCGGTCACACTAGAATTTCTTCCGCAAAACCGAAAACGGCCACTCGCACGAGTTTTACGTTAGTGTGTGAACAGCGAAATGTTCACGGGCGAATAGCGCGCGCGCGCCCTTGCGATTATTAGCGTATACATCACACGCACGGTATGTATGTATGTACGACGCGTATAGTCACGTTATACGTAATATATAAAACAACCGTGACAGCATTGACGACGGCGACGGCGACGGCGACGGCGACGGCGACGGCGAGAGCGCACGGCTAACGCAAATGTCGCATTCACCCGCGAGCTTACGCGGTAACCTTCGGACTGACTATGGGGTAGATTCGGGTGCCGCGCGGTTCGTGCCGCTACACCGCTGCCACCCCTTGAGCGTAGGTGTTACTAGCCGCCGCCGCTCTGTCGACTATTGTTCCGCGAAACGATTGGTTCGTTCGGCACGTTTTGAATTTCGCTGCTGCTGTGTACAAATTGTTTACAAGTGTACGAGAGCGATCTCGCTTTTAAACCCTAAGCTGTTCGCTCTGATATCAGCAGCCGAATTTCAGAAATGCACGAGCGATGCAGCTCATGCATCATCAGTTCATCCTTTCGAGACTTTCATATTGCAGCACGACAGATTTAATTTCGCGAATTTCACGCGATATCGACTCTTCTGGTTTTTATAACGTGCGCATGCGCACTACTTCGATTACATAGCGATGACGCAGAAACGATGGACGTCGCTAAATCTACATACAGGGTAAGGAAAAAAGATGGAAACTCTTAAAAATCTCGAAAGATATAAGTTTCGCAGAAAAGTGTTTCAGATAAAAGTTATAAGGCTCAAAATGATATATTTACTGATCTCATCAGTTTGACCTTGAGTAGCGTCGCCCAGGTCAGATTAAGGTTAACTTATTTTTTTTAAACAGAAACCCTCACTTTTTATTATATCGTCTTTTTCTAGTAATTAATTTGAACAACTTTTGTCTGAAACATTTTTTTATTTACCTAATATGTTTTGAGATATTTAAGAAGAACTTGATGATTTTTTCAATACTTAACTTACGATATCTCGCTAACTATTTGTTGGAAGAAAAAATAGTACTAGACCTTTTCACTCTATTTGGTCTCAAGAATATATTGTTACAATAGTTCTCTAACTTTTGTTCTCTAACTTATTGACTTTTGGAAATTTCAAAATCAAATTAACAAAAGTCAGGGTGCTATTGTAACAATATATTCTTGAGTCCAAGTAGAGTAAAAAAGTCTAATAGCATTTTTTCTTCCGACAAATAGTTGGCGAGATATCGTAAGTTAAATATTGGAAAAGTTTCCGAGTTTTCCTTAAATATCTCAAAAAATATTAGGCAAATGAAAAAATGTCTCAGACAAAAGCTATTAAAATTAATTGGTAAAAAAAGACGATATAATAAAAAATGGTGGTTTCTGTTTAAAAAAATTGAGTTGACCTGGACCTGACCTTGGCAACGTCACTCAAAGTCAAACTGATAAGATCAGTAAATACATCGTTTTGAACCTTATAACTTTTGTCTGTTACACTTTTCTGTAAAACTTATATCTTTCGAGATTTTTAAGGGTTTCCATCTTTTCTCCTCATCCTGTATACATTCGCGCATTTTATGCGGTAGATCGCTTTATCCAGTCGCGGAGTACCATTATCATCAAGGAGCAGCAACATGATACTTTTTGGAAACATTAATACCGATAATCATTTTTCGACTGACGATGAAATGGATTTTGACAGAAACTGTTATTACGAATACAAGAGGTATGTCCGACTTGAAGTAAGTCACATGTGCGTAATTCGAATTTGTATAGTCAAAGGAAGCAAAGTTGCAGTGCTTTGATGAACTTTAAAACGTGTCTGATATGTAATAAAAAAATTCAATCTTCTTTAAAACAAAATCTTTTTTTTATTAGACTTATAAGCGTTACAATATTTACTAAAAAGGAATGATGTATTCATTCTTCTTCTGATTATACAGGAATTTGCGTTGATCCAATCGCTTAGGAGCTTATCAATACTCGGAAAAAAATTATCCATATATAATTATATAAAATCATATATGATTATTATGTAATTATAATTATATGACAGTAATTATATGATTACAATCATGTATGTAAAGCTTGTTTCTATATCTGAACATGTACAGGGTGGTTCACGTAAAGTGTGACAACCCAAAAACTCTAAAAATATTTATATGTCGTATAAAAAATTGTCCCTGACAATATATAACGTATTCAAGAAATCTTTCTAACTAAACAAAAGTCTGCCTCCCTCTCCCCTGAAAAGCGGTGGAGGCTTAACTTCATAATTTCAAACGGGACCTCCTATAAAATGTTATTGTACATATTTGGATTCTACGGGAAGAAACAAATAAACATTATCTAGAACATTTCTTTAAAAAATACTAGTATCAGAAGTTATAAACATTTAATCTTTAAAGTAAAGTGCATTCAAATTAAAGTGATAAAATCATAAATTAAATAAAAGACTTCATAGTTTTCCACATTTTTTACTTTATTAAATGTTCGAGCTGTTGACCATTCATATTTAAACATTTATTAATTCTTTCTACAAAATTTTGTCTAATTCTAAACAATATACTAGCGCGAGCTTCATGTATTCTTCGTTTTAAATCTTCTTTTTGTCGTAGATGATTGAAATATAACTTTTTCTTTGATATATCCCCATAAAAAATAGTTAAATAGTGTAAAATCAGATGAACGAGGGAGCTATTGAACAGGACTTCCTCGACCTATCCATCTGTTATCAAATATTTAGTTTAAAAGAATACACGTCTGGAAAAATGAAGAGGTACACCATCTTGTTATTAAGTGTGTGAATTAATTCGGTTCACTCTTTTCTTCCAAAAAAAGACTTTAGTGTGAAAAAACATGAAAAAGTACACTAATCAAAGTATTTACTATCGCTTGCTATTATTTTTTCCCATATGTCTGGCAATTGTTGCATTCCGTGACGGAAAAATGACTCGTCTTTCGAAGCGATCCATTCATTGAGCCATTTCTCTATTTCTTCATAATTGTTGAAGAGCTGGTCCGAAAGCCCGTGTATCATCGATTTGAACAAGTGATAATCGGATGGAGCAATGTCTGGTGAATAGAGCGGGTGAGGTAAAACGTCCCAGCCAAATGTTTCCAAGGTGGCCTTCACAATCTTTTCAACATGTTTCGTGCTGAAAGATCACTTTGTCATGTCTCTTTGCATATTCCGGCCGTTTATTCTTCAATGCGTTGTTTAAACGGATCAATTGTTGTTAGTAAAGTTCGGCAGTGATGGTTTAGTTCTGTTTTAATAGTTCATGATACACTACACCCTTCTGGTCCCACCATATATACAGCATTACTTTCTTGCCGTGAATATTCCGCTTTGGTATCAATGTGGATGTGTGTTGGATGATTTTCCTGGGTCGCTAATGGATTTCCTTCGTTTGGGATTATCGAAATATATCCACTTTTCGTCTCCAGTCATAATATGATGCAAAAAATCTTTTCTTTTTTGCCTGGCAAGCAAGATTTCAGACATGGCATTTCGCCTTTCGATTTCTCTTTCTTTCAGTTCTTTTGTATGGCACCCATCTTCCTTCTTTGTAAATCTTTCCCATGGCTGCTAAACGCACAGAAATTGTTGATCGATCAACATTCAACAATTGCGCGAGCTCATGTTGCGATTGATACGAATCTTCATCGATTAGGGTCTACAATTCTTCGTCCTCGAACTTCTTCGGCTGACCTGGACGAGGTTTGTCATCGACACTGAAATCATCACTTTTGAAACGTCGAAACCATTCTCTGCATGATTTATCGGTGGGAGCACTTTCACCATAAGCTTCTACGAGCATTCGATGAGCTTCAGCGGCTGTTTTCTTCAAATGAAAACAAAAAATAAGAATTTCCCGGAAATGATGCTTTTTTGGTTTGAATTTCGACATTTTCGAATCAGATAAACACGATGTTATTGTTACAAACCCAAACGTTTATCAACTGAATATTACTGCCAGATATCAAAACTAAAAAATAAAGCCTTTTGCAGACATTAAAGGTAAGAAAATTACATAGTACAGCAATTGACCGCCAGATGGACCGAATTAATTCACACACCTAATATTAAGTCGTTAAATATGAAATGTCAGATTTCTTTAAGTATTAAGTTCGACAGTCGATATCTCTGACATTTCTCCTTTGCAGTTTTTGATTTTTTTTTCTTGTGAAGGTACATCATCACTCTTTCAAACGCATGTTTTAGTTTGTGATTATCTTTCGAAATGTCTTTGTTACCGATCTTTGTGTAACCATGGATAAGTTAAAAATTAGTATTATTTTCGAATATGAGTTCCATGGTGGAACCAATGCAACGCAGACAACTCGAAATATCAACGAAGTGTTTGGTGAAGATGTGGCTAATGAACGCACAGTAGTACGTCGATAGTTTGAAAAGTTTCGTTCTGGCGATTTTAATCTTGAAAATAAGCCACGTGGGCGACTCGAGACCAAGGTGAATAATGATGAGCTGAAAGCTGTAGTGGAAGCGGATACATCTCAAACTACGCGTGAATTAGCATCAAGGTAACGTTATTATTTCAACGATATTGGATCACTTGAAACAAATCGGCAAGGTAAAGAAGCTGGATAGATGGGTTCCGCATGAATTAAACGAGCGTCAGAAGAGAAATCATTTCGAAGCTTGCTTCTCTTTACTATCACATAGAGGCGAACCATTTTTACATCGTTTTACATGTGATGAAAAATGGATTCTTTTCGACAATCGCAAGCGTTTGGCATAATAGTTGAATAAAGATGGAATGTCGAAACACAGTCCGAAACCGAATATTCATCAAAAAAGCTAATGGTGTCTGCTTGGTGGTCCAGCGCTGGTATTTTCCACTAGCTTCATGAAGCCTAGTCAATCGATTATAGCGTATGTTTACTGTAACCAACTGGATGAAATGCTGAGGATGCTTGCAATTAACAAGCAAGATTGGTCAATAGAGACAGGCCAATCCTTTTGCAAGACAATGCTCAACCAACATGTTACACAAACAACGCTGTTCAAACTACAGGAGCTGGACTTGGGAACTCTCTGTCACTCACCGTATTCACAGCATTGCACCAGCTGACTACCATTTCTTCCAGACAGTGAACCACTTCTTGCAAAGAAAAATATTCAATTCTTAACAAGTTGTGGAAAATATCTTCTGCGATTTTATCGCTATTCTTCAGGGTTCTTCACCGTTGGCATAAATAAGCTACTGTTAAGATGGCAAAACTGTGTCGATAGTTTGGGCGCATATTTTAATTAATTGTACTATTTCTAGTTTGAGATATAATAAACCAAACTTTTATTCGAAATCGGACATTTCATATTTAATGACCTAACAAAATCACATTTCTTTTCTCACATTAAGTGATAAGTTTTCCATAAGTAGAGGAAAATGATTGCTCAATAAATCACAGTAGGATTTTCAACTATGGGGATATATAAAAAAAAGTTATGTTTCAACCACCTACGACAAAAGAAGATTTAAAACGAAGAAACTTGCGCTGGCGTGATCCCCGAAATATTGTTTAAAATTAGACAAAATTTTAAAAAGGATTAATAAGTGTTTAAATGTGAGTAGCCAACAGTTCGAACATTTAATAAAGTAAAAATATGAGAAATTATGCTCTTTTAATTTAATTTATAATTTCATCACTTTATAGTTTGAATGTTCTTTACTACAAAATTTAAATGTTTATAACTATTTTACAAAAATTACATATGATAATTTTTTCCAAGTATATATTATAGAGTATTCAGCGTTATAATTTGCATGAATTTTAGACATGATTTAAAGAAAAGTTGTAAAATAAACATTCATTTACTTTATACAGGCTGCTAGATTTGAAACAAAACTTTTTCATTAGAAAATTAAAGTAATTTTGAATTTTTTAAATAGCACCATGCAATCTCTTTTACATAATATTATAAAGAATTTTAAAGTGAATTTCGCATTATCGTAACGCATTATTATAACTTACATTATTAATAAAAGTGGCATTTCTGATATTGCGTTGAGTTCGTCTTAAAGTTTCCCATATATATATCCCAATATATATATATCATATAAACGATTACATAGTACCATTTAAAAAATTCAAGATCATCTTGATTTTTATGAAGAAATTGTTTTGTTTAAATTTTTTTATTATAAGTTGCAGCCTGTATAAAATAGATGAATGTTTTCTTACAACCTTTTTTTAATCTTTTCTTTTTAACCTTTTTTTTAACGGAAGTGTCCAAAAATCATGCGAATCGTTACACTGAACACGTAACAGTATATATTCATTCTTCTCAATTTATATATATTTAACAAAATAATTAAAAGATCAAGAAAAATATCGAAAAAATGAGCAAATCTCAAACGGCTGTAATTTTGGAAAAATGGAAATCTAAATCTGAAAAATGAGTTTTAAAGCTCGAAATTTCTGTTTCCCGAAACTCATATTTCTCACTTTCTTCAATTATATAATTCAATCCTTCAATTCTTCAATTATATAATAATTTTAACATACAGGAAACGGTTAGATCGACTTGTGGAATATTGTTCCAGATGCGCTAAAGCACATGCTATAATTGATCAAAATTTTCCAAATTAGGTTAATTCCGTCGTAATTGTCATCCCAAAAGATCGCGGGATATAGACCATCCATAGAGAACGTATGTTTAGAATCCCACCTGAACTTATGGAAACTTATGGAATTTTGGAAACGCAGTGAAACTTTGATTTTTTTATTTTATGCCGAATATGTCAAAAGATTATGTTTATGTTAGTGAAAAAAGTTTTCTACCACGAGTTTCATTTCTATTTTCATTATAAAAAAATTGTTTGTCGAAACAAATGAAGTGTTCCTGTATAACATATGCATCGATATATTTAAATATATCATATTAAATATATCACTACTAAAGAATTATCGAAGTACAAAAAAATCAATGATTTCTTTTTCAAGGTTAAAATATTAAAAGGTACAACGATTTCAGTCGATAAAATTTTTTAATCACGTTGCATAATTTTTTAAGTTTATATAAAAAAGTGAGAAATTGCTAATTTTTACGTAATTTTCTTTTTTTCAAATAATTTTTCAAAATGACTACTTTTTCTTCAGTCCCGAATAACTTAGTGAAATGAAATCGAAATCAAAATCTAAAAAAATTTTCGCAGGAAAAAATTCAAACTTTCACACAGAATAAATAGACAAATTTTTGTAAATTGTTTTTGTGTACATGCTGACAAAGCAACAAAAATATTTCCCGTTTCGTCGATTTAATTGTTTCCTGTATGTTAAAATTACTATAATTAAAAAAAATAAGAACAGTTGTAATTTTTGGAAAGTAAAGATTTCGACAGAGGGAGCTTCAAAATCCATTTTCCAGATTTGGATTTCCATTTTTCTAAAGAAAATTACAACTATTTGAAATCTGCTCATTTTTTCGACAATTTTTTTTTTATTCCCGAATAACTTGGCTGAATACATAAATTAAACGTTTACAAATAGAATAAAACAAATACATAATTTATAAAACTTATTTTAGGTATGAAATCATTACTCTACAATTCTATAAATGTTAACAGATTATTTCAACACATCATTCATAATAACACTATACACTACTTGAAATGTATACAATGATAGATAAGACATACTTTTTTGCTAATAATTATAAGCGCTTTGTCTTTCGATAAATTCTATTAATAATTTTAATCGTGCATCAGTAAAATGGAATAATGAAGTCTTCACTGTTAAAAAATTGATTCTCATTTCTTCACGCTCCTTCTTTTCCATTTCGTAGGTAAATATTGATAGTATGTCAATATCATAATTATTATCTAAACTCGTGAAATGTTTAATAGCGCACTTACATCATGGATTACTATTAAATTCAATAGAAAAAATTCTTAATAGTTCAAACATGAATATCAAATTAGTTCCTTATATAAGTAAATTATTATGTTCTAAAAATGTACCTTAATAATAGCTCTTTTATAAGATTATCGACGAGCGAAATTTTTATATTTAGATGTCGCTTATGCTGAATGAAAAAATATATATTCTGTACTATTACAATTACAATCAACATATATTGGGCTATAACAGTAATTTATTATGTCAGAACGTGAAAAAAGAACAAAATAAATTCCATAATTCGTTTCGAGGAATTCATGGAGACACAGAGCAGCTTAAAATAAACATAAAAGCCGCATACCATTTTGCGATATTCGCAATAATCATTGAGTTATTAATAATAGAAATTTGACGAATGAGAGCATACTGAGATGGTGTAGGAGGAGCATTCAGCCGCTCGAGAGGCCTAGTTAAATAGTGAGTCGATCAATTAACCGCTGCCGGCGCGCGATGAGGGAAAGGATAACGCGCCACTATTCGTATCGTATCATGTTGTAGAATTCGTATCGTACCATGTACCATGTTGTAGAAATCGCAATAGTTATTAAGTTATTAATGATTGAGGATGACCACATCTAGAGACTCTTTTAATTGATAACTTGAAAATTTACCTACTTACTTGCAAAATGGTAAAGGACTTTTTTGTTCAGAAGGACTTAATCTACAATTATATGACGACTATTATGTCTAGCGATAGATATGAGTATATTGAACTTTAAATAGTGAATCTTGAATCTGTCGCTAGGCACAACAGCCGTCATATAATTGTATATTAGGTCATTCTTAACCAAAAAGTCCTTTACCATTTTCAATTATTAATAACTTAATAACTATTGCGATTTTTGCAAAATGGTATGACTTCTTATGACCTCTCTTCTCAGTTTGATCTGATTAATCTTCACAATTTTTCGTTTCCAAAAGATCCTGAACATATTGTCCCGAGAACATCTTGCATACACTGAATTGATCCCAAACCTTAAAACTTTCAAAACTCTCAATAACATAAAAATGTTTATAAAACTTAATCAATCCGGTATAATCAACTCAACGCTGTTTCCGTCTTCAGAAACAAGAAATTTAGAATCTTTATAACGCAAAAGATTCATACGTCTCTGAACTAACCATGCTGTGTAACCAAGTTTGTAAAAAGGTGGTAATTTTTCGAAACCACCAGCGATCGCCAATGAATCGTTGTAATCCCATTGTTGGTCCATGAGTTTGTGCGCGTGTCTTTTATTCAAAGTTTTTAAAGTTGAATCTTCCAACGTCACAGATTTTGCAGGTAAAGTCACACGGCCCTCTAATAAAGCCAAGAAATACTGCACCTAAGAAATAAAAATTTTGGAAAGAATTTATTAGGCTTACAATATAAATTACAATATAAATTAAAGTATTTTGTTATAATAAATTAAAAACAAAGTTACCAATATATTGTTATGTTTAAAATTATTCTCATATAATTATGAATAAAACGAGATAGTATATATTTAAATATACAATAGAATTATCAAAATAATTATTGGACATAAAATATCGATAACTGTTTAACTATTACTATAACGTGTACTTAATGACTACACATACGCACATACATATACACACGCATACAGGGTGTCTCATAATTCAGTACGCAGAATTCGTGAAGACATAGAACGGATTAAGACAAATATAAAAATTTGCCGACATGCGGCGAGACGTAGGAGCGGCGAAATAAGATTAGCGCATAGCCACATTGTCCTTTCTGTCGCCGCATGCCGGCAACAATTGCTAGATCGACTGGGCCATATTCTTGCCCGAGTGGCTGTACTTCTCCAATTATCCATCCCGGCGCGCGCTCATTCATCAGATTTCAGTAATTAATAACTCAATAACTATTGCGAATATCGCAAAACAGTATGTGATTTTGCCTTAATCTGTTCTGTATCTCCACGAATTCCTCATATTGAATTATGGGACACCTTTATAATAATATTTTTCATGTTGGATTGAAGGTGTAATCATATTGCTTATGAGCAAAGTTATGTGCATTCCCGCACAAATCTCGCGGTATTTATTGAATTATTACGGTGTATAATTATTTATCGCGTCAATAACTAGCATGAATTATTACCTGTATATGGAACATAGGAAACGGTACAACTAATGTAGGTATTCCAACTATACACATCGTAGGATGCTCAATATTAATCAAATGTTTGTAAAGTGGCTTTACATAGTTATCGTCCACCCGTATGTCGCAATTTTCATGTAAGGAAGGAAAACTATATTTATATCCAGTGCAAAAAATAAAAGCATCTGCATTAACAGTGGATTTGTCTTTAAGACGAATCGTAGTTTCATGTATACTTTCAACACCTGCGATTTGTATCATGTTTGGCGGTAGAGGACTTGTGAATCTATAAGAATAATATAACTAAAGAAATAAAGAAATTTATCATCTACTATTCATCTACTATTTATTTCGTCACTCCACTTTCTTTCTAATTTTGTATTTATGGAATTAATTAAATGTTGCTTAATAAATCTCAATTAATTAATGTTTATAGATATAATTTAATTGATCACTTACCGGTCGTGATTATGGCTTAAGTACACGCGAGTTGCATGATTCGATAAATCGATCCCTATATCGATACCAGATGAACCGGCACCTAACACTATCACAGTTTTCCCAGAAAACTCTTCAGGTATTCTATAGGCGTGACTGTGTAATATTAAACCCGGGAAACTTTCGATGCCAGGTATAGTTGGTATATAAGGATCAAAGTAATGTCTAGAAAAAAATTAGAAGAATATAAATAAAAGTTTAATATAGCAACATCATTAATATAATACCATAGGTATAGGGTCAAGTTACAAAAATCAGTGTAATTGAATCTTATAGACTTTTGGATGCTGAATATGAATCTGTTCTTTATGACATCAGATTTTTGAATAATAAAAGGTTAAAACTTCAAAAGATCTTCAATTTTGGTCATTTTTGACGGTTCATAAAGTGTTAAATCTGGAAACAGGAATCAGTGGAGGCGATTTTGATAGATTTTTTTATATTGAATATAAATTGATAATTCAAATTACTCTATCACATCAGATTTTTTTAATAATCAAAGGCTGAAATCTAAGAAAGCATTACTTACATTCATTTTTAGTAGTGTATGAATTGGTCAAATTTCACAATACTGAAATCAGTGAAAGTTATTTTTATGAATTACACTAGAATTTCTTTTTAAAGCGCATGTCTTTAGAACATATTTCATTTCTGAAATAATTACTTGGATTAATTTTTTGAAAATATAGAGTGTTAATGAAGAACAAGGAGAAAGGTTAATATGTTGACGTTGGTGATGTTGATGTTAATGATATACCATTGGCATCTTAAGTATGACAGCTATAACATGTTTCATAGATAAAGGAGCCATAAATTTGTGTTTTAGTCATAGATTTCAGCTAATGGTTACTAAAAAATCTAACGTGATAAGTTAATTTAGAGTATTCGTCTTCACCCAAAAATCTATAGAAATCACCTACACTAATTTCAGTATTGCATAAAATGGGGTATTAAAAATGATCAAAATTTGAAGTATTTTTTGTAGTTTCAACCATTCATTATTTTAAAATCTCACGTAATTTGAAGAACAGTTTCATTTTAGCATCCAAACACCTATAAGAAATCGGTTTATTTATTTTTGTAATTTTCAGAAGATTAAATTTTGTAAGTTGTCTGTATATTCTTCAACATTTAGTTTAGTAACATGCAAGACTTCTCACCCATTGCAAACCATAATTGCATCGAAATATTGAATTTCCGTGTTATTTGTTTTTAAATTTTTTACTCTCACGAGCCATCTATCACGGCTGCAATCGGCAGATGGTTCGAAACGAACTTCTTCCACTCTTGTATTAAACTGAAGAACAAAAATTAATGTTATATTTAGTGAGTTGAATTAGCATGCAATATTTTTTATATTAAAAGCTTTTATATTAAAAGAGAAATATAGTTACATGAATGTGTCGATGTATATCGAAATGCTGGGTGTAATTTTTGAGATAATTTAAGACTTCTTGATGGCTTATGCAACTAGGTTCTTGTGCTTCCATTGTCATATAATCCGGAAAATTCATAATCTTTGCGGGCAAATTTGTTCTAAACAAAAACAGAAAAAACAATGTAGTAACAAGAAACAATATAGATCAATACCTTTATCAGAAAATAAGTTCAAATCTTTTTAACTTTGAAGTTAACTTATTTCACTACGTTTATTTTGATCAATTATGTTAGAAGCAAGAAAATACACATGCTTAAAAATTTTTTGCAAAATGTATTGAAATAAAAACACGTCTATAAAATAATACTTGCGATTTATTAAACAAATTTGTAAAATTGAACATTTTTTTTATTTTAATATTTAATAAATGGAAAAATAACGAAAGCAAAAATAACGAAAATGATAATATTTACTGAGTATGTAAATGTAATGATAATATAAGATGTTCTTTTTAACAAACGTGATAAAAAATATCAGCATGATATAGATATATGATTTTTCTTGATTTCAAATATATTCTGTAAAAAATGTGCCCGGAATTTCAAAAGTCTCGCAATGAAGTATCGAAAAAATTGTTTTGTGTGTAAGCTGGTAGCACTGTACACTAATTGCCACGCAGAGTTTGGACGCAATCGGTCAAGCAGTTTGTTTACTGCAGCTGTTTACGTTAGTCGAGTTCGAGAGTGTTTTGTGATTTTCATAATGGATAAAGAACATTCGCAAAAATGCCAGTTTTTCAGTCCCCGATTTTTTAATTGAATTTTATGCGAAATGATAGCTTATGATGAGACATTAATCATAAAAAAGTTTTACATTGAGCATATGATTGGCTTCGGAGATATAAAGGGTCAAAGTGGTCACTACCTCCTAAGAAAGTATGACACTAATAACGCTTTATCGCATGAATTTCGCATTTTTGCGAAATTGGGTATCTATGGGTTCTTTGAGTTGCTGATTACGAATCTGATGTCAGATTTTAAAAATTCAAAATGGCGGATGTAACATGGCGGACACAAATAGTGAAACAATCATCTATCCCAAGTTAGATCACTGTACTTTGAGATTCACTATACAACAATAGATAATATGGAAAACAATCAATTTCTTGGGTTCCCTCAGCTTAAGCTAAATGATTTATATTATCTCAGTCTTGGTCCATATCAAATAAATAATTTCATCTCATATTACGCTGAACATCAAAACAAAGGAATCTTTCTTGTGCACAAGTTTCAACCAAATCTTAGACATCGACCTGCTACTATTAATTATGAAAACTATGGTATTGTAATTGAAGATCCCTTACTTATCAAAGCTTATATGAAATCACGGTACCGCAGCGGGAAATATCACATTTTTGTTCCCATGGACAAATTCAAATCCGAACGAGACTCAATAAAAGAATATTATTGTACGTTCGAAAGTGGCGCTCGAACTGTCGGCTGTTATGCCGATACGCAGTAACGTTATGACGATAGTCTGGTACCTTGGATATGGTCATTATAACGGAGTGCATATACCTAAATCCGAAATCTGTAATGTATTCATAACCATTCACAGAGTGAATTTGAAAATTAATTAATTTTGCCTTCACTGGTTGGATAACATTTTCATCTTGCCTTCACTAGCTGAATAACCTTTTCATCTTGCCTACACTGAAGGTAAACGTAAATCTGAAAAAAAGTTTGCAATTAGCTAGCCGAAAAAACCATAACATAACAGTTCCAATAAAAGTAAATGATTGTTTCACTATTTGTGTCCGCCATGTTACATTCGTCATCTTGAATTTTTTAAATTTGACATCAGATTCGCAATCAATAACTCAAAGAACCCATAAATTCCGAATTTCGCAAAAATTCGTACGATAAAGCGTTATGTCACATTTTCTTAGTAGATAATATTAATTATATTACAATATATATTATAATAGTATTATAATAGTATTAGTACTAACTACTTTGACCTTCCATATCTTTGAAACTAATCGTATGCTCAATGTGAAAGTTTTCTGTAATTAATGTTTCATCATAAGCTATCTCTTGGCATGAAATTTGATTCCAAAATCGAGGACCGAAAAACGGGCAGAAAATCCATCCTTTTTGCGGAGGTTCTTTGTTGAGCAAAGAATTTGTCTTAAATTTTGTGTTGTCAACAAAATTTCTTGTATCGAATTCTTAAAAATGCTACAAAAAGCCTTTGGTGAGTCATGTCTGTCAAAAACACAAGCGTATGAATGCATTGAAGCGTATAAGGCATTGAAAGAAGGCCGACAAGTGCCTTCTTTCAATGCCTTATACGCTTGCCATGCTCAAGGCCATGCTCACTGTTTTCTTTGATTATCGTGGTATTGTGCACTCAGAATTCCTTCCAGATGGACAAACCGTTAATAAAGAATATTATTTGAGCGTTATGAAGCGTTTACGTGAGAATGTTCACCGGAAAAAGTCAGATTTATGGAAAAACAATTTTTGGATTTTGCACCATGATAATGTGCCGTCGCACATATTGACTCTTGTACGCGAAGTTTTGACCAAAAACTCAACAAATGTCATCGACCAAGCACCGTATTTTCCAGATATAGCTCTGTATAACTTCTTCTTGTTTTCTAAATTCAAAGGCGCACTCAAGTTACCACTTCAAGACATGCGTTTTCAATCGATTGAAGATATAAAAGAAAATTCGCAGAAAGAGCTCGAAGCAATACCAGCTTCAGCGTTTGAGAAGTGTTTTGAGGATTGGATTAAGCATTGGCACGTTTGTATTGCATCCGATGGAACCTGAAATTTTGAAAGCGACAAAATCAATACTAATGAATAAAAAATTTCGTATTTTATTGAGTAATTCCGGATATTTTTTTTACAAAATGTATACTATCTTCGAGAAGTTTATATTTCTTTCAAATAAATTTTATAATATATATTTAACATATTATTAACAATAGAATTATTCAAAATTTTCACAAACTCATAATATACATTATAATAATATCCGTGTGAAATTTTAAGGCTCATAATACTTTTCTGACATTATCAGTCAATATAACAAAACAAAAAAATATGAGACTGTTTAATAAGTCTATAATTTTGACAAGAGAGATGACGCTCAAATCGCAAGACTTTATTTTTGACATATGCCATCTTATTTAAGTACGCACACAAATTTCAAATAGATCTGTCAAATAGAAATTTTTTGATAGTGTTTAAAAGCGGATAAGTTTGTGTTTCTTTGTTGCAATTGGAAAAAAGTAAATTCCGTGTGCTGATAAAGCATTATCTTTTGAATGAAAAAATTATTAAAGAAACTGAAAAAAAGTTAAAAAAAGGTATTACAGGGACTCTGCTCTGTCATGGAATGATTCACAATTCTTGTGGAAAAAAACACTCAAATATTGAATGTAGATACTCAATGTTTGAGTGTTTTTCCTGTATGAGAAGTATTGCATTGAATTTCGTTATGGCCATACAAGTACGAATAATGCTGAGCGCTCAGGACGTCCGAATGAGGTCACAACTGAAGAAATGGTCAATAAAATCCATAATATTGTGTTGAATGACTATTGAGTAAAGATACGCGAGATAACTAAAATGGTAAATATCTCAGATGAACATGTTTTCATATTCTGCATGAACATTTGAGCATGAGAAAGCTATCAGCAATATGGGTGTCGTGTTTGCTCACAGTTGACCAAAAACAGAATCGCTCGACCATTCCGAGACAGTGTTCGGACATGTTCAAGCGCAATCCAAGTTTTTGCGATATTTAACCGTTAATAAAACATAGATCCATTACTACTCTCTAGAAATGAAAAAGCAACCAAAACAATGGATTTCTCCTAACGAACATGCTCCAAAGAAGACAAAAACGGTTCCATCGGTCGGAAAGGTCATGGCTACAATTTTCTGAGATCCGCAATATTATGCTTCCTTATTGGATCGATTTCACGTTGAATTGAAAAGAAAAGTGATCCCACTTGGTGAAGAAAAAAATTCTTTTTCACCATGACAATACACTAGCTCATACGTTTATAATTGCCATGGCCAAAATTATCGAATTGCGCTACGAACTCATCTATCCTGTTCTCTGGATTTGATCCCTTCTTTCTCTTTGTAAATATAAAAAAATGACTTGATCGAAAAACATTCGCATCGAACAAGGAGATAATCGCTAAAATAAATGCCTATTTTGTAGAATTTGAAAAATCATATTGTTTGGAAGGTTTAAAGAAGTTGGAAAATCGTTAGGCAAAATGTATCGTATTCAAAGAAAACTATGTCGAAAAATAAATCAAATTTCGGTAAAAAAAGTTCTTTCATTTCAAAGTCACTGACTTATCAAACAACTCCCTGTATATGCTAAAAATTCTTATACAAAATATATTAAAATAAAGACATATTTATAAAATAACGCTTAGGATCATTTAAGCAAATTCGTAAAAGCCTCTCCTTTCGCTATAATAAATAGTCATGAAATTAATGAAACATTCGCTCTTTAACCTAGCATGTTAGGTACAATCACTCGTACGAATAATTTTATTATTCATACAAATAATAAAATTACTTATTATTACTGGCCAATTTATTACAGCCAGTAATAAGTTCTGTAAGGGTATAAAGTCGAGATAAACATAATATTATTTCTCTTCTCTTTTTTGAACTAATTAATCCTAAGGGTTTCAAACAAAAAGTCGCTAAATAAAAATCGCGTTTTATTTTTTAATAACGACTCTCAAATATCTAATCACTTATCTAAACGAAACGAAAATAGGAAAGAGAAATGAGGAGAACGGGAAATGAGGGAAAAAGAAGGAAAGATGAGCTACATTTCAGATTCTTAGAGCCTGATTCAACTATAATACATAATTATAATATATAATCTCTTGGAATATCCAAGTCATACACACTTTTTTTGCACCTCATAGATCCAGTACGAAAAAAGGCGATCACTTTTCATGATTTTGCGGCTAAATATGTACCATATGTGCTATCTGACATACTTCACTGTCATTATTAATTTTACATATAAAAATAATTCTTTATTATGATATTCATGATTTTCCAATATAATATCCACGATTTTCAGATGAGTTGTGTAATACTACACAATACTACATAATTTATTATGTATAATATATAATTTATAATGAAATCTAGAGAGGGTCGAAATTGTCGATTCTCCTCTTTTGATCAGTATCCCACATCAAAAATCATAATCATTTGTGTCCGCATTCAGTTTGTATGATAGAGCCTGCTAACATAATTTGACAGCAGATTGGCGGCAGAAACCGAACAGTTCCTGCCGCCAAACTACACGATCTATTCCCCAGTCAGAACCATAACGTTGATCCGACGTTGATCCGACATTAAAATGGTCGATGAAACATTGAATCAACGTTAATTCAACCCTCATCGATGTCGGATCAACGTTGTGGTTTTGACTAGATCGGTTTCTGTCGCCAATCTGCCGTTAAATCATTACAGGCATTATACGGTTTCTGCCACAAATCTAATCGCATTATCTGTCAGTAGGTTCTATCACATTTCTGGTGTCAGTTTGACAACAATCTTTTAATCTGATAGAACAAATTCTATGCTGGACTTATTGCCTTTTAGTATCAAAAATTTGTAACAAGCTCTGCTTAGAATATATTCGCCCAAGTTTGGCTATTTGGCTATATTGTTTGAAATTTAACTAATTAGATGTAAATATCATTTATACAATGCATACAAAATGTAAACACGACATTTTAGAGACATGTTTCAGACAAAAGTTGTAGGGCTTCAATGGATCTGTTCACTGACGCTATGAATTTGATCTTGGGATGATCTTGAAAAGCCTAGTTAAGATCAACATAAAAATCTTAAATGGAAACCCCAATTTTTTATTACACCGTCCTTTTCTACCAATTAATTTGAACAACTTTTGTCTAAAACATTTTTTCATTTACCTACTATTTTTTAAGATATTTAAGGAAAACTCGTTAACTTTTTCAATATTTAACTTACGATATCTCGCTAACCATTTGTCGGAAGAAAAAGTGGTACTATACTTTTTTACTCTATTTAATCTCAAGAATATATTACAAGAATATGTTACAATAGCGCTCTGATTTTTGTTAATTTGATGATTTTGAAATTTCCAAAAGTCAATAAATTAACAAAAGGGCACTATTGTAAAAATATATTCTTGAGACCAAATAAAGCAAGAAAATTTAGTACCACTTTTTCTTCCGACAAATAGTTAGCGAGATATCGTAAGTTAAATATTGAAAAAGTTATCAAGTTTTCCTTAAATATCTAAAAAAATATTAGGCAAATAAAAAAATGTTTTAGATAAAAGTATTATTCAAATTATTCAAATTAATTATTCAAATTAATTATTCAAATTAATTAGTGGAAAAAGACGGTGTAATAAAAAATTGCGGTTTCCATTTAAGAAAAGTAGTGATCAGTGAATATCTCGAAAGTGTTGCCATTTATAAACGAAATAGTATAGTTGTTTTATCTCGAAAGTGGTGCCATTTGTAAACAAAATAGTATAGTTGTTTCATATCCTCTTTGAAATCATACAACTTTTGTCCAAAATATTTTTACTGGAAATGCTTCGTTGAAGAATTATCGAGGTGCGTTTTTTAAACGTACCTTAATATGGGACACCCTATATAGGGTGGCCCACGTAAAGTGTAGCAACTAGAGTTTCTAATCCCGGATACAATTTAGGATCCCGGGATTTCGGGATTTCTTAGATTCCATCCCGGGATTATATACAGTGGCGTGCAAAAGTTTCAAGCCATAGTATCTTTTTAAGATACATGACAATATATTGATTTACTCTAAAAATTAATTATATAAAATAGTTGACATAACATTTCTTACAAATAATAGTACAGTTACAAAATTTTGAAATTATATAGTTTCTATTTATTTAATCATAAATAAAAATAATTATTTTTTCTTTTTCACATTTGAAAGTGACTTTAAACATAATAAAACAAATTTTGTTACAAAATATCTGATCGAGAATCCCGGATTCGAGTCTGTGTTGCGCCAGTTTATCCGCGAAATTTAAAATAGGAAACTCCCTTAATATTTCAAACAAATAAAAATAATATATGGAATTAAATTTAAAATATAAATACACACTTCTCTAGCAAATGCTCTAAAACATCAGTAATAAGTAATAATTATTCAAGCAAAATTTTTGTAAAACTAAATCTAAATTTAAAAACTAAATTAAAAATCTAAATCTAAAAACTAAATTTTGTAAAACTAAAATTTTTGTAAAATTTTTGTAAGTATTATATAGACACTAAGCATTAAATTTTGAAATCCTGGGATTTGTGATGTTGAATCCCGAGTATTTTCGGGACCAAAAATTTGGCCGGGATCCCAGAATCCTGGGATTGGGAACCCTAGTGACAACCCAAAACCTTTAAAAATATCTGTCGTATCAAAAAATTGTTCATGACAAAGTTTCATATATTCGAGAGATCTTTCTAACTATACAAACAAAAGGCCGCCATCGTTTTTCCCTGAAAAGATGGGGAATAACTTCGTAATTTTAGAATAAAGTATTTTACAAATCTGCTCAATTGATTGGAAATATCATTTTATGATTATATATTTTTATATTGACATGCTTTGTAAAAAATTTTAACATATATTTTTTTACTTCTAACATCATCATTTGAAATGATTACAATGTGAAGTCATCTTAGAAAAAAAATTTTAGAAAGGAAAACCTTAGAAAAAAAAATTAATTGAAAGCAACATCAAACCTGAGATTCTGATACATGCTGGAGTGAATCGGTAAACCATTTTCATCTAGCCCAACTTGCTTCATATAAACCCATGTACCTCCTATTTCGCCAGTTTGCTCATAGGTCGTCGCTTCAAATTTCGAATTTCCCACTAAGTGTCTGACTGCGCACAAGCCAGCGGCACCGCCACCAATCACACAAACCTTGATCTTTTCCTTTTGATCCGCCATCTATAAAATCTATACACACTTCGCTTTCGTGCGACGATAATCAATGAAATCTTGGTCTTCACTCTTTTTCCTATCGAAAATTCGACAAATATTTGTTATTATTTAAATGTTGCAGAAACGTACATCAATCGACATCACAATGTGTAACAATAACTTTATTTAAACACGTTACGTAACTTGTTACTTATATCCTCTTTTGCGTAATAAACGAAGCTTGACGAATAACATTTGCCACTAACGTGACATTGGCTACGTTCAGAAAACACAACGGTTACACAACGGTTAAGTAATTCGTCAACGTTATTGGTCTGAATGTAAGAATCTAACAGTAAGGACCAATAGTTACTAAGCGCTCAGTGAGCGCTTTGTTTTCTGAACGCAATCATACTTTACGTTGGAAAGGTTGCGCACTTGTAGGTAAAGTAGATCATTTGGTGAATGACACGCGATTTTAAAGTAAATTTAATAATTTAAAACTGTGCCATGGTTTTTTCTAAATGAAGAAAACTGATAATAGATTGTGTCTTATAATAACACGCACCTTTTTATAGTTAACTTGAGCTTGTATAAAACGGAAAAAATAAAAAACCACAAGCATATCGTAGTGTTTGCCTTTGATTTCTATCTGTTGACACTTGACTAGTTTTGCGGTTTGATAAGCAAGTGTTCAGTTACACGTGATTGTCATATGATTCTAGTGTCTTTAAGATAAATTATAATTATTGTCTATATATATATATATGGTATTGAATGATGTGTTGCTTATTGTAGTTCATTTTAAAATTGAATTTAATATATTTTATATATTTTCAATGTAATATATTGTCAATTTTTATCAAAACTTTTTTATATTTTTAATGTATCTATATGTATATAAATTTGTTCTTTAGAGCTGTTTCTTTTGACTTTCTGACTTTTTAACCTTCCATTTTTTCATTTTCTTTGTTCCACTAAAGATCAAATATATATCTTTCATTTTAAATGCTGACAATATAGCCAGCAAATACAATATTACATGTAACGTGCATGTTAGTTGTAATTTCCTACTCAACAATATAACTGTAATATAACACATGTGTTAATTGATTACGTAATATTGTGTTTGCTGGATAGTTTAGTTCTATAAACTACTACTGTAAATAACTATAAAGAATAAATTTTATATAACTCAGTAAACAAGAAACATCGGATCACTATTCTGGAATAATATAATTAATATTAAATATGTTTCTGCAATGTTTCTCTATAAAATTTTGTAAATGTTTCTGAAATTTCTGGTATTCTGATATTTAATAATATTGCTCTTTTCAAATATTTAAAAAATATTTTAAAAACATGGGACGAAATATATTCTATATATTACTAAAAAGTAAATATGTGTGTCTAGAAAATAAGGAATGTGAAAGGTATCTCAAACAGCAACATGATATTATTCAAATATACTAAATTTATATTAGAAACACTATATACAAAATGTATTTGAAAAAGGGATAATATCCACATAATATTTCTTACAGTATATCATTTCGCAATCATTTTCAGCACTAATACTGATACACTGAATTTCTCAGCAATGTTTTATTTAATCGTCAAATGCTATAACCCTGATAAAAATTTAATGCAACTTTTAGGCAGTTATTGGACAATTATGTCACTTTTGTCTAGTACCTGAAAAATAAAACATTTAAAATCCCAATCAAGATAACGCTTTTGCTGCAGTTACTGTATATGAAAGATATATCAAATTTATTCATTTATAAGACAGAAAATAGATAGATTCTTATAAAATTTTAATATTGGAAATTACTGAGAAATTTGCAGTGATTAAATAATATTAATATTTCAGTAAGTATTTAGTCAATACTTAATAATGAATTATCACAAGTTTATTATATGATTATTGCAAAATATTATTTATCATAAATTAGAGAAAAGTAAATAAAGTATATATTACATATATAAAATAAATCAATATTTATATAATTATATATATATATATAATAAATCAATGTTATATAATATATATATAAAATAAATCAATGCTTGATGTTTTCATCTAAATATTTAATAAAAATAAAATATGTTCTTACGATTCAATAGTTCCCTTATAAAAATCTAATACTGGTAAATTAATGATTAAATACTTATTTCATATTAACACTATTAATTATTATAACATAGTATTAATAACACTGTTGTCAGTAATTCCTAGTGATTCAATTACTGAGCTCGTACTAATCAGGAATATTTCAGTGTTGAGTTGTTAATGATTATATACTATTACAGAAAAATATAAATTAATATTACTCGATAGCTGTATCACTAGTCACTAATAATTTTGTGTACTTAAATAACGATTATTAAAATAACAGTTACTAATAGGTCCTAAGGTAATTTAATAATTTTTTACATTAGTGATTAGTACCTACAAACGATGATTAATACCGAGATTTGTTACAATATTTCTCTACAATATTTTGTAATACATTGTTTTTTCTACAGCCTTCGAAATGTTAGCAAAAAGTTAACTTGTTTAAGTTCTATTTACTTATCAATTATAATAAATAATACTTTAAAAAAGAAAATTGCGGAAACAATGTAATTTTTTATAACAAGGAAGATAAATGTAAATTTTTTCATCATTATGAATTATGAATTGTTTTATATTGTTTTTTTCAATCTAACTTACTGCTTGACCTAATATATATACTAATATTTAATTAAAAATTTTGAAGCCAGAACATTATACTGATTTGTTCCCGATAAACAAGAAACATTAAATCTACCTTTTTAGATGTTGATATGTACGATTTTTTATCGTCTCTCTTTGCATAATATTTCTTAAATATTATACCAGCATTATATAATGAAATGACTTTTGAAACATTTTTGAGATACTTTAAAAACATAAACAGAAATATTTTTGTAATGTTATTGTTATTAATGTAATACACGATTAGAAGTAAATATTAACATCAAAGAATATATGTACGCATAGAAGAATAAATCAATCTATACTTAATTTTGGTCGTCACTAGAAAACTGTTTCAACTGCTGATAATTAACCGAAAGACAATGAGGCGCGGCACCACAAGTCCCGCGCCTGATGAATGCCAACCCGATAACGTTCGGAAAATTTCGGCCATCGCCGAATAGGCGAATGTACCGAAAGTAATCAGCTAATTTAGATTCAAGCATCGAAATTATCCAATTAAAACGGGAGCGAGAAGAACCGAAGTTGCGATCATATGACTATAAAAATCGCGAACTCGATATTTTTTATACCAATTGTTGATTAACCGTCTTCCACGTGCCGCATATTATTTAGACCTGGCTCCGTCTGATTACCACTTGTTCCGTTCAATGTAGCGTGACCTTCGAGACACGCTTTCGAAATTATGAAGAAGTCCGAAAGTGGGTGGATGAATGGATTGCTTCAAAATCTGAGTTGTTCTATCGTCCTCATCTCTTACCAGAAAGATGGGAAAAAGTAATACAAAACGATGGACAATATTTTTATCGATTAATCGATTCATTTTATAATTGAAATAAATGTGTTTTTCAAGCAAAAATAATGGAAATTAACCGAAACACCTAATATACAGGGTATATAAAAAGTACCAGGACGGTGAAATAGCACAAAAACTAAATATTTTAGAAAAAAATGTTTCAAATAAAAATTATAGGATTTCAAAATATCTATTTACCGACATTATGAGTTTGACCTCGCCAAGATGGCGTCGCCAAGGTCAAGACAAGGTCACCTTGAATTTTTTAAATCGGACTCCCTATTTTTTATTGCATATACTTATAACCCTTCTTCAGATCTTTTCAAAGCACTATAATTTTTTTTACTTTGAATAAGCCGTTTCGAAGTAATCGAGCTTTTTATGATAAGATGTCCAGTCAATCAAGATAAGATCAAAGAAGTATCCAGCCAGTCAAGGCAAGATCCTTACAAAAGCGTTTGAGAATAATGTTAATCTCTAAAAGAAAATGTAAAGTCTAACGAATAAGCTAGGAAACAAAAAGATTTATCCAATAAATAGAAATTTGTATTAATTAGATAACAAAATCGATAATTCAATTAAAGAAAGAAAAATCAGTAAAAAAAATAATTTATCTTTTCCATATGAAACAACGCGTATTATGTACAAATAATGTATTCTACTTCAAGTCAAATTCATTGCAATTGATTTGAAATGATTCGAAGGTGAATTTTAGTGCTGTTATAAATTTAGTACATTAATATTACTTTTTTAAATATTACATGTGTCTGAAATATAAGTCATGAAATTGCTCCAGCCACTGGCTGGACATCTTATCATAAAAAGCTCGATTACTTCGAAATGGCTTACTCAAAGTGGAAAAAATTACAGTGTTTTGAAAAGGTCTAAAGAAGGGCTACAAGAATATGCAATAAAAAATAGTGGGTCCAATTAAAAAAATTCAAGGTGACCTTGTCCTGACCTTGGTGATGCCACCCAAGGTCAAACTCATAATGTCAGTAAATAAATCTTTTGAAACCCTACAATTTTTATTGGAAACATTTTTTTTTAAATGCTTAGTTTTTGTAATATTTCACCGTCCCGATATTTTTTATACACCCTGTATATCGAATATCCTATAAAGTTACTCTACATATATGATGCACATATAATATTCTATAAAGTTACTCTACATATATAAATCAACATGACAATTTTATTTAGAAAATACTGTTTATTGCAAAACAAGTTGCATATCTCTTTTGTGTTTGCGCGTACGAGCGCACACACTCAATGTGTGTGTGTGTGTGTTTGTGTGTATGTTGTATGCGTGTTCATGTATGTGTCTGCAAAGGGATATGATGTAAAATAAATATTCTCATACGTACAAATGTACATATGTGCACGCAACTCGCCAGTTCGCGAGTGATTGTACATCGATTTTTACAGTTTGAAAATTAAAAGCTACATACTTCTATAGAATTCTTATTTTATAGTCGACTTTTTACAGCTATAGTCAAATATTAATTAAAAAGAGGCTAGAATGTCACTGAATGGGGTCCCAGGTTCCTTTGCTGCTACTTCGAATGTCTTAACAAACGCTTTTCTTTGAGATTCTTTAGATAGCTAAAATTATAAACGATAATGTAAATCATGAAATATATGTGAATTAATTAAAAAATAAGTTAATCTACCTTATGATAAAAATCTGAAGCAGCTATACACAACATCTTTTTGTCTTCATATTCATACTTGCCAATTCTCGATTGAACGTATGGAAACCTATCGCAACTATGGCTAAGGAAATGTATTAATTCTTCGTAAAAATAAAATTATAAAATTGCTACAATATGAGAAGGATACAACGCTCTCAACCAATGATTCGTTGACGCACTAATGAAGAAACAAGACAAACACCAAGTCGACATTGCTATTGGCAAACTTTGGATAAAATTCGGTAGACTGAAGACTACCCAGTCCTGAAGAAGCTCCATTTCTGTGCTATTGCACGCTTTCTCACAAACCTGCAAAAGAAATCAGATGTTTATTTATTTTGCAGTAATATTGCATTCATAATTATCGTTCCACAAACCTTAAAAACAACAGCAGAAAGTAACCTCTGATGTGGTTGATGCGGCGACAGAAATTCTCCTACGACTTTCGTTAAGATTTCCGATGGTGGGAAAAAATCTCCAAGGACACCGGAGAGCACAGTACATAATATTTCCACTTCCATAGGATGTCCTTTCCGAATTTTATCGAATATCGCGGAAGTACGTTCTATGGATCTGACTAATGCTTCTGGCTCTACGTCCGGCAAAGGTTTCTCCGCGCCGGGTTGATTCAGTCGATCGGCCGCTTCCGTGTACATACATGTCAGTAGAAGTTGCAGAGCTGGCAGCGCTAGCAACGGGCTCGGTTGTTTTAGCCGATCTATCGCAACTTTAACAATTTGCTCAGCAACTTTTCCGATTACGCTTTTCGTCGCGACGAGCCTCTCAAGACCCTGTCGGCAAATCGACAGTCTTCGTACTGAGCGTTACCTGAGTAATTCTGTGAATAGTGCCGTAACATACCTGTAATAAGGTCTGGTGCAGGCCATACGAAATATTCGGAAACATGATTAGAGAAAGGACTAATTCTAACACAGCCGGTGCCTCCGTGTCCGGTGGAGTGTCTTCCGCATGTTCCAATAGAAAGAATACCAGAGCCCACATTATTCCTTGATGTTCTTCACTCTGACTGAGAATGCTGCATTAACAAAAGAATAAATAAGTCAAAAACTGCATGATTATACCGAATAAGTAAAAACAGATAAGTCAGTAAATCTTTAATACACTTGGTAAATCACTATACCTTAACTTCTTGATTAAATTTTTAATTTTGATTTTAGAAAGTATCTCACAAAAAAATATTCTGTTTGAGCCACATTAAATAATTAAGATTAATTTCTTGTTTCATATCTTTTTTTTTTAATTTCAAGATTGTCTATTTGATAAAGGACATATTTTTTCATATGTTGTTATAATGTAAAAACAAACTCAATTTGCCAATATTCTTAAGATAATCTTGAAATCTAAATATTTATACGAAAAACAACTTCATAAATTCCTTGTTTCTATTATGAATATATAAATTCTTGACAGCGTAATCTTTTTACTGTTGCATGATATTCTACCACAATATGCATTCAAAATGCTGGTCGTTCGTATAGCAACAATTTCTTACATGAACAATAATCAATAAATGACTTTAATGCATCACGTGACTTACTCATGATAGAATCGAGAATCGAGAAATATACCTCCATATCTAGATTTTCATCTGAATATTATCTAGAAATTCATTTCAAGGTTATACTCCCAATAAACTAAATATTGGTAATACATCAGTATATTGGTAACAAATTCCATTAGAATATTATGGTCATGACTATTTGTGTCCATTAAGATTGTACAGAGAGAACGATTTAGTTGAATCTAACAAATGCTTATTTAGAATAGTCGAAATAAATTTTTTGATTGATCGAACAAAATCTTGTTTGACGCAACAAAAACATTTCGTTGGAACTAAGCTGCAACAAAATATTTTTGTTGCGTCAAACAAAACTTCGTTCGATCAATCAAAAAATTTATTTGGACTATTCCAAATAAGTATTTGTTAAATTCAACTAAATCGTTCTCTCTGTGTATAAGACAAAGCCTGTTGACATAACTTGGTAACAGATTGGCGACAAAAACTGAACAAGATTCACAATATATTATATTTAAATAGTTATGGAACAATATACAGTGTGTCCCATTTTAAATGCCCCAGGCAAATATTTCGAAAAATATGGAAGATTCGGAAAAATGGTATTGGTAGAAAAAGTGGTGCTAGACTCTTTTACTCTACTTCATCTTAAGAATATATTATTATAATAACGCCCTGACTTTTGTTAATTTGATGATTTTGAAATTTCCAAAAATAAGTTAACAAAAGTTAGGGCATTATTGTAACAATATATTCTTGAGGCCAAATAGAGTAAAAAAGTTTAGTGCTATTTTTTCCTCCGACAAATAGTTAGCGAGATATCATAAGTTAAATATTGAAAAAGTTATCGAGTTTTCCTTAAATATCTCAAAAAATATTAGTCAAATACAAAAATGTTTCAGACAAAAGTTGTTTAAATTAATTGATAGAAAAAGATGATATAATAAAAAATTAGATTTTCTATTTAACAAAAATAATGATCAGTGAATATTTCGAAAGTGGTGCCATCTGTAAACAAACTGATATATTTATTTTATGTCCTCTTTGAAATCATACTTTGAAATCAACTTTTGTCTGAAACATTTTTCCATATTTTCCATATTTTTTCGAGATATTTGCCTGGAGTATATAAAATAAGATACCTTGTATAAATTCTGCTTGTTCTTTGTCGTTAGTTTGTCATCATACTGTGCTAGTAGATTTATCGTATTGTATTTCTGCTAGCAAGTTGTCAACAAAAGCAGATACATTATGCAAAACCTGCTTCTACAAATTTGGCTACCTGGACTGTTACAGGTTACTGAAATCTTTATATTAGCTACAAAATTATATGAGAAAATATTATATTCTATGTAAAAGCTGTCAGTCCTTCATAAAGTGAGACAAAAAGTGGCAATAATTTCAATTATTTGATGTGCTCCATTGAACAAAACATATTCTTCTTAAATCGCTTTTTTCAACATTAAAGGACCAAAAAAGGTAACTTAATTTAATCTTAAATGATTTTAAAATATAATAATCCACTCCGTATGTTCTATTGTGATAAATGAAGTGATATAAAATTTGATTAAATTACCCGTTTGAATTTTGTGGATCAATATGTTTCTGAATGTATTCAATAGCTAGCGGATGTATGATATTCATTGTTTCCTCACATTTGGCCAATACCGCGCTTTGCAGTAAATACAGAGAACCATGAAGTGCGGAAACTCTAGCAGGCAAAAATCCTGACTTTAAATTGATATCCACTATACGTTTCACTTTGTCCAAAGTATCAAAGTCCTACGAAATAATATCAGTTGAAAGAAAAACATAATTTCTTCGTTCTCTTCTATTAAACAGATAATCCTCGATTAAACTTCCTGCTCTTACCAATGGCGTTAAAACGGCAGCAGCTTTACATATCGAAACAGCCAAGTATTGGTGTAGGATCGCATTTTCCACTGGATGAACCTTCGATACTTCCAAACATATGTCCAACATCCATTGGTATTGTGACCGTTCAAGAAAGAGTTCCGAAATTGCCAAAATGGATTTGATAATCTCCGTTAGCAACTGTACAGGCGTGTTAGCCTGTGGTGAAAACCAACTAGTGTAATGTTCGATGAGAAAACGCAGACATGAGTCCAAATCAAGCGACGCAGACATTAATGCGTCGTTTCGTCTGTTTTTCAAATCAAGAACAGACACGTTCAATTTATCTTCGTATAAATTGCACAGTGACCATAAGTAAGAGACCGACAGTTGGCTGTATGTGAATTTGTCAGCAGCCGCAGTTCTTTCTACATTCCCTCTGTGAAAAATGTGGTCCAATTTCAATCCGTTTTTATTTTCCATGTCATTCATGTACTCGTACTTCCACAAAAGTAACTCTTGAATCGCAAAGAGCTTCTGGGAGCTAATTTTATGCACGGAAAGTTGAGGATCTCTGGGGTGGTGGATCAAAGTGCTGGCTTCAGGATTGCCAGGACATGGCAACAGAAGAGTTTGTAATAATAATTTCGTTATTGCTTGAATCGTTAAGCTGCTAGCTTGAATCAAGGATGCTACTTCTTCTGACGGAGTGTTCTCATTTTGTAGGAAATTAAGAACGCTCAGAAATGCCATCCAAATCTCTTCGAATTGCGACCTGGACGTCCAACCTAGTAAGTTTACTCGATAAATAAACTGATTCAAAATATCTACTTCCTGCAGAAGATTAGACTCCGACGATAACAGTGGAAAGTAACACTTGGTTGAACTCGAACCAACGACGTGCCAGTCACGTTGCCACACTAATGGGGGTGTCAAAATGTAAGAGTTTACTAACGGTTGTCGACTCACGCTGACAACAAGTGACTTTATCGTATCGAATAAGTACGGTGGAATGTTTTTCGTGGAACCTTCCGTTTGACATTTTTCCAGCCAAGCTACTATCGACGCCATTTGAATACACGCTCGTGCGTAATCCTTAGTGTTCTCGTTTTGCAGAGCTGGCTCTAATGCTTGTGAATCTATGACTGGTAAAGGATCTATCGTCGTTAATATACTCTCAACGACTTTCGTCAAGGAGATTGCCGCGGAACATACCCACGTGTAACGAGTGCTGTCACCAAAAATTTTACTCGGTGCAACGTGTCTCAGAATTTCCGCTGCGCAACTCAACGCAAGATCCATATCGTGTGACCTCAATTTTCTGACATTTGTTTTGTCGGAGTGGATCATCCAATGCGCCAATTCAAGACACAGCATGGAAAATTTGGCGATGTCTTCCTCGAATTTGACATCGATCTTCGTCACATTGTATTTGGCCAGTTTCGGCAATGTCTTCATGTAAATTTTAACCGTTGGGATTATCATAAAAAGGATCTTCCAGTAAAGAGTATCGCTCAATAGCTCATGAAATCTAGCCGCATATTTCAACTCCTTTCCGCTAGTGTTGTCTACTTCTGGGTTGTAAATCTGATGCGGCTTCGGCGTAAGCTCGCAAAGATAACGAATATGCTCTAGTAAACACTGTTTGGCGGCAACGTACAAAGGGCTTGCATCGAAATTAAAGTCTTTCTCAATTTGTGCTTTACCGAATTCTAGTTTTTGGCACCTCTCAATACTAAGTTTTGTCCCTAACATTATACAATGTTTTAAAATATTTAGATTGAACTCTTTACAGGAGAGAATGCTCAAACAATCATCGAAGTTCAAGTCCTTCAATAACTGCGCTAATTCCATAGGATTGTTGCTGGCGCTTGTGTGACAGCATCGCAATTTTACTTGAGACAAAAACCAATTTCGGTCCAACTGAATGCCCTTTACAGTAGATGGATTGAAGGGCCGGCATTGATCGGGCTCTAACGGCGACAAGTCGTAATACTGCACAGCCAACTTGTTCAATAAACTGATTAAACCACCATGTTTTCTGGCCAATTTAGTCGTCTGCAAATTGTCCATAATCTTTACAATATCATCCTTCGACAACTGACTGATCACATCCTCTGCACTCGTGGTCAACAATATCTCCACTCTGCGACTGGCAATTTTCGCCGCCATCCTTGATAAAGCAAGATACTTCGTGGATAACAATCTCGGTATTAAGGTCACTATGACCGCACCGCTTTGCGAATGATGAGCACCCTCGATACACTGCAACAGACGCTTTATGAAACTAGGTTGCGACAGATCAATGCACTTCGTTGCGATAGCTTGTACCAGAAGCCCACTAGCTGCAGGATTTCTGTGTATAGCCGTACTTAACAGATCTCTAATTGGAGATTCGGTGGCAATGTTAATAGCCTCCTCTATGTGATTTACCAACAACCACGTTAGTGGTTCCACATCGTTTAGATTCTCGCATATATAATCACAGAATAGTATAATGCCTCCTTTTCGTATAATCTGTATATTTATGCTACTAGTTGCAGCACACAGTTTTTTCTCGTTCGACCAACTACGTACGATACAGTCAGTATTACCGCTGCTGTTCAATATTTTCGACCAGAAGGACATCTCGTTGTACCCCAATAAGATCATCAAATAAGCCCATTGGCACATCACCGTCGGACACATGTTTCCGACACTGAGCATTAAATAGTTAAGCTGATCAATGGGCAGTTGCTCCTCGTCCGGTGTGTTGCGCCCCTGAATCATTTGCATCGTTGCATTCGCCACCTTACAATGACTACCGGACTCAAACATATGAATGCACAATTGCAAGAAAAATGCAAACTGATGCACCAAGTAGTTGTCATCAGCTGTGTAGTCAGAGAAGCCAACAAAAGGATCCGCGGATTTATGGTTTATCAGACCAAGCAAATTAAATACTTTCGAGCTTATCAAATTAATCACTTTGAATATGAATTTGGCCAGTATCTGCTCAGGTGGCATTTGGTGCGATTGAGCCCCTAATACGTTCAAGGGGTCCGTATGCCCAAAGGAAGATTCCTGCAGTGAGAATAGATGCGACACATCCGACACGCATATACTGAGATCCGAGAGACGCGCCAGCATCGCTTCTTCCTTGGCGCAAGAAATTAATGAGAGAAGCACAACATTGATCATACCCAACCATCGCTTCAATTTCAGAGTTGAAGCTGATGGGGAGACTGATACAGTGAACAGTATTCTCAGGAGGGGATCTACCGGCCGGAATACCGTGGGCGAAATAGCCGCAAATAATTTAACCAGTGCTACATGAGCCTTTTCAGATTCTATCCTGAGTTTTCCAGTTGCCAGTATCGGAAGCACGGTGTCCATTGTTAATCGGGACCATCTGCGCCATTTCTCTTCTCCATTACCGTCTCCACTGAACCTTGACTCCGCCAAACAAAGCGCTAAAAGCTCGATAACTTGATAATACTCCACAAGGCGCAGCAACATAGCTATCAACACATCTCTCGTTGTTTCTAATTCCCGCTGCTCGACTGCACTCAAACTACCGTTACGAATAAGAAATATATCTTCGATGACAGGTGCGAGCGCAGGTATGCAATGCGAAATTGCTGGCTGCCCACTCGCCATCAGACCATCGCATAATTGAATTATCTTTGGTATACCTATTATCGCTTTGGAGTGATTCTTTTCATAAGACAGATGAACCAGGAAATTAAACATTTTCGGTAGAAGCTCCTCGGTTTGTTGCATATGACCTTCTTCGATAAATTCAAACTGTTTTAAAACAAATCCGATGAATATCTTATCTGAGTCTAATAGGCAGTAATTAACTTTCAATTGAACCAGTTGACTCAATAGCATCAGAACTTGGCATTGCAGCGCGATGTTACTAGTAACAGTATACTGTTTCAACGATTTTATAACCATCGGTTCAAAAAGCCGAATGAAGGAAGCCACCGATCCTTTCTGATCTGAAGATCGCGCCAAGTTTTTAAATACCGACGAAAATTTGCGGTCACTTTTTCTACGTAATAATCCTATCCACCTAAAAGTGAAGAAAAAGTTATCATATCGATGTTTAACACTAGAATTACTGAGTGATTAAAAATGATCGGTAAATTCTTATAAAACTTTACCACTATTATTCTGTAAAGTTATGTTCGTCTACCTCACTAACAAGGAAACCGTCGGAACCGTCCCTCACCGATTTTAATGGGCTTTGGATATGTTGTAGAGCAACAAAAAATATTAGATACGTATTTTTGTTTATCGGCGTATCTCAAGGTTTAGAGTGAGCAAGGGTAAAACAACTTCTCAAAAAATATTTTCATTTTTTGCGAATATCTTCCAAAGTACGAGATATATGAAAAAATGTTTCCTACAAAAGTTTTATAGTACTTTATACTGCTTACAACGGTATATTTAAATTTTTTTAAAGTGTCAAATTTTCAACCTCCTTCCCTCTATTCCTTTAATTTCGCAAAATTAAAAAATTTCCTAAGGCAAAAATTAAAGAGCATTTGATGCCGAATTCATCTATATATAATAATACAATATAGTCATGATTAATTTTTAGAAAAACGAGATGATATCATCGTACTATAGGAGTCGCGTTGTAGATAGGTATTATGTTATTTCTTTTCAGTTACACTATACTCAATAACTGTCTCTTACACATATTTCCTCATACCACAATATGCAAGAGAATTAATCTTGATGACACAATATGCGACTTATTAGTACAAAATAAAGATATTAGATAGATGAACGTGCATATACAGGGTGGACTATTTAAGTTGATAATGCGAAATATCTCAAAAACGAAGCTTTGGAGAAAGAAATGTTTCAAATAAAAGTTGTATGGTTTAAAGGGAGTCATACAATAGTGCCCTTGATTTGACTTTGAAACGTGTATTTAAGGTCAGATGAAGGTCAACTTAATCTTTTAAAATAGAAAGCTCAATTTTTTATTATATCTTCTTTTTCTACCAATTAATTTTAACAACTTCTGTATGGAACATTTTTTTATTTGCCTAATATTTTTTGAAATTTGTAAAGAAAACTTAATAACTTTTTCAATATTTAACTTACGATATGTTGCTAATTATTTGTCGAAAGAAAAAATGGTACAAGACATTTTTATTCTACTTGATCTCGAGAATATGTTGTTACAATAATGCCCTGACTTTTGTTAATTTGATAATATTAAAATTTTCAAAGGTTGATAAGTTAACCTACACGTTTCAGGGTCAAACCAAGAACACCATTGTACGTCCCCCTTTAAACTATACTTTAAACCAACTTTTATTTGAAATATTTCTTTCTCCAATGCTTCGTTTTGAGATATTTCGCATTATCAACTTAAATGGTCCACTTTGCATATGCACGTTCATTTATCTAATATCTTTGTTTCATTAAGAGTAATTCTCTTGCATATTGTGGTATGAGGAAATATGCATAAAAGGCAGTTATTAAATACAACTGAAGTGCAACTGAAAAAAAATAACACAATACCTATCTACAGCGTGGCGCCTATAGTACGATAATATTATCTCGTTTTTCTAAAAATTAATTATGACCATATTGTATTATTATATATGGATGGATTCGACATCAAATGCTCTTTAATTTTTGTTTTCATAAAATTTTTTAATTTTACAAAATTAAAGGGATAAAGGGGAAAGTTGAAAATTTTGACACTTTTGAAAAATCTGAATATACTGTTGCAAACAGTATAAAATACTGTAAAACTTTTGTAGGAAACATTTTTCTATATACCTCGTACTTTAGGAGATATTCGCGAAAAATGAAAATGTTAGTTTTTTTGAGGGGTTGTGTTACACTCCCTAAACTTTGAAATACGCCGATAAAAAAAATATGTATCTAATATTTTTGTTGCTCTACAACATATCCAAAGCCCATCAAAATCGATGAGGGACAATTCCGACGGTTTCCTTGTAAGACTTGTAGTGTTTTGAAAACGTAGAGGTCCATACTTGTAAATCGCAGAAGAGGCGAAAGATAATTTTAAAATAAAATTATAAGGCGTCAAATATAAAAATATTAAATCAATTTGCACATCTAACATATAACAGTGCATTTTATATTTTTAATGTTGAATAAGACTAAAAGAAATATTTTTTTCCAGACGCATAAGGTATTTTTTTTAACTGTCATTTGACCTCTCGGTGGGAATAAATTGCGTTAATTTTGTTATCAAAGATTATACTTACCCATTATCCGGTTCATTTTCACCTCTACAATTATTTCCGATAAATTTGATCGTGCTCGCCATTTTTCTCGCTGGGTATTGAAAACATTGATTGTAAAAGCCCCTGTCATCTTGCAACGTGGTACACCGATCCATACTCTTCTGCACGTCCATTTCACTCCATTGCGCGTACACATTCGTGCCAAATAAACATTTCAACAGTTGCTGCACGCACTGGACCGTTGCGGTCGGTGACAATGTAACAGTGCTTTTCAAATAATATAACACTTCTTCCGCTATTCTGCCTATTTCGTTGACGGACGCGACTTCAAGTATCTGAGAAAGAACGTCCAACGTCGCATTCAATAAAGACAGATACATTTCACTGGCTTCATATTCCAGAGTAACTAGATAATTAGCATGCGCTGCTTTTAATATATCATATATCTTCATGTAATGCGGTATACCGACAAACGTTCCCATTTGATCCTTGCCGCTCTTCAAGCCTCCGATTTTCTCTGCTTTCTCTTTTGACTTCTGTTCCGACATGATTTTCTTCTTGGGTGACAATGTTTGCGCGGACGATAAGGACGACAACACGGGCTTGACGCTGGCTTGCATCTGCACTTCGTCAATTACGTAAACGAATATGTGCAGGACTCGTGTGATATGCGTCAATAACAATTCCATGTGATTGTCCTTACACATACTCCATAATTTCGTTGGGTCACCGTTGGTCTTGAAGTTACAGATAGCTGATCCGGAAGCCAGATTTCCAGCAAGGAGGATTAGATGCCGATGTGTGGAGAGATCTAGACTGATAGCTGAAGACGTTAGCAAAGACAACGTCAACGACAGAAGACCACTGCCTACGGGAGAAGGAATCATGTCGCTTGTGGAACTGCCGTCACTTGCATCCGACCGGTCGTTCTTTTTAGATTTTTTCAACACTGTTTTTGGCAGAATGCAATCCCACCCTCTGACGTAAACCGTAGTGGAATAAGTCTCGCTCAAACGAAAAAGAGTCTCGCAGCAACCGTATATTAGATATTTCGAGGAATGCACCGTCAATATTTCTGTCAGAATATTAACTATGCGAGACAAAGAATATTCCACGCTGGGATCGTAATTTGCTCCATTATAGTGATTTAAAAATACAAACGGTTCGATGGACGTGTTCACAAATGGCTTGTGTTTGTCTTGGCACGACGAAAGTTCTAAAATAGTTGACGTTACAGAGTTCAAAAATTGCTGAGTATATTGTGTCGCCTTCTTTGTAACACTATCTTCTTGAGAATGCCGGTAATATAAATAAAGAATACTTCTAAAATAACGAAAAACGTAGTACATATTAGTTTAAATGCATGGAGTAACGAAACGATGAAATTAGAAATATATCTTACTTAACAATAGCATCTGACGCCGCATGCCTCACTCTTTGGTCTTGATCGCCTAATAATGTTATCATAGCGTCAATAAAATGTTCTTGAAATAATGATTGTCCTGTTATATGCTCTATCGTAATATATGACAATTTACTCAGTAAATCGACTAATTTTACTTTTACTAGAAAATACGGATTCTTCACAAGTTTTGGCAAAGCAGTTAAGATGGTAAGACCGTGTTCATTATCGACAGAATCCAATAATTCCGGTAAACAAAAGTTCAACGCATCCAATGTTTGACGACACGTCGTTGCGGAATCATCGTTCAAACCCTGTACATTTAATAAAAATAATCACAAATTGAAAATATTCTTATTTATTTAGATCGACGTTTTCTAAAACATGTATACTCACGTTTAGAAGTAATTTTATCATATCTCCAAGTAATATGTCTTTGTGTCTTTCTTGAATTGCGCACTCAGCTTTAAACTTCTCAAAAGAGCCACCGTATTGAACAAAGACGGACTTTAAACAAATTCCGATCACCATCGCTATATTGCCCCTGATCTGAGGATCTGGATGATTGGCAAATAACAAGATGTCTGCAATTAATTGGTTGTTTTCATTGCAGCAGCTAGATTCTTTGATCACAGTCATCGTAAGCAAGTGTGGATAGAGCTTCAAGATGTAACCCACGCATGTTAGAGCAAGAGATTTTACACTAACACGGAACAATTTGTCTGGCATTAAATGCTCAGCTTTGCCGGCTAATAAAAAGGACGATACTAAATAGCGACAACAAAACTTGACAGGCATATCTGAGTCTGTAAAACTTCCAATATCCGTCTCATACAATATGAAATCCACAGAAGACTTTTTGGGAGAAGCGAATGATACAGTAGTTTCTTCAGAGTAATCCTCTTCTTTTGTTTGATCATTCAACAAGCTTGAATATGGTGCTTTTTCTGATTTTTCAATCTCACTTCCGACATCACTACCTTCCTCAACAACCTCATCTAAAAAATATTAAAATCTTATATTTGTTAAATTACTAAGATTATGTTTACATGTTTATTCTTACTATCAATAATTCCGATCTTCAGGCCACAATAATTTTCCATTATCTTCCCTTTCATTTCTATTATGTCATTTGTACATTCATTTTGTGGTTGTAAATTGTGCATATCTGGTGATATAGTTTCTGCTTCTACAATCCACTTATCTATGTTTGAAGTAATCTTTGGAACATCCATTTCGTGTAGGCTCAGAACTGAATCAGAATTTCCATCATGAACAGTGCTTGTACTAGAAATACTCAATTGACCCAATAATGAAGTGGACATTTGATTTAATATTATTTTGCTCTGAGTTATGCCTTGTGATGACAATAAAACAGATACCAAAGATTTTGGAGGCATTTTCAAAAGTTGTACCAAAGTTTCTAAAACTGCATTTACAATGTTATGCTCAGAATGCCATTTTGTGTAATGCAAACATAATTCATATATACGTAAAAGATTATCTATTTGCTGTGTTTCAATATCTTCAGGCTCTAAAGGTTTACATATATGAGGTAAGATGACTCTTAGGCATCCAAATATGCCTATAATAGTAGACGACTCAATACTTCTTGCGGGCATAATTACATCTGATAAAACAAACACCATTAATTAATATAATCTTTTGCAGATACAAAATGCTATAAATATTCATCATACCTAATAAATAATTTAACACATAATTTAAAAAATATTGTGGTTTTCTACAGTTTATACATGTTGTCAGAATCATGTTTGCTGCTGCTCTACGAAAAACTGCTTGAGTAGAAGAGATATTCTCAAAGAATACTTTTAGTAATATCTGCAATAAATTTAATTCTATATTAATTATAATATTACCATAAATAATATCTCATAATAGTACTGATTACTTACCTTGACATCTTTGTCTGTCATAAATGGTCCTAATACTTTTAAAATCAATGGTAACGACTGCGATAATGTTTCAATTACTATATCCTCAGATCGACGTGCAATGATAACTATGCATGGTATCAAATTTGATACATATGCTTTACCTCTTGAGGGACGTATCATATGACTTAACAAACCAAACCTCCACAAAGCAGCCCTCATTATACGTGCAGGTCCATTTCTTTTTATTTCATTATAAAGTTCTATCTGAACTTTAACAATATTACTATCAACAACTACCTAAATAAATAATACCATTTAATATTCAACAGGAATATATATAGTAAACAACATACATGTTTATGTATACTCTTTGAATATAATTCTTTAACAAAACTTAAACAATACTTTTGTAAGTTTCTAGAATTAATCATAAATTGACGAATAAGTCAATAAAAATATATGTACACATATATACATATATATGTATGTGTATATATATATGAAATGTAAAATATATATATAATAGTATCAATATACCCTTATAATTTTATTGAGGGACTCATCTGCAATTATCCTGATATCTGATTCCTCATCATTACACAATGCCAGCAATGTTTCAATGGTAACAGTAAGAATTTGTGGAAACTTGAGATTTTGTCTGACAGTTGAAGAACATATTCCTTCAACGATAATTGTACAACATGATATTTTCTCTTTCCTATTGTTAACGAAAATTCATTTCTATCAAAAAGAACAGAAATTGACAGAAGTTTTCCAGTTATCAGAAAATGTTTATTGTTTATACCTTGTTCCGGGATCTGATACAATATTAGAATCTCGCAGTGAGTTTAATGTTTCTACGGCTTTAAACACATTATTAATATGAGTCATGCTGATTTATAAATTTTGACAACTTTTTCAAAAAATATGTTTGACAAATGACATGTTATTAATCTTCACCTATTCAATATAAATTTACACTGGTTCACGTCTACTACATCATTGATGTCGTCGATGTTGAATATGTTGAATTTATTCTTTTTCTATTTACACCAGAAAGAAACTTGAGGGCGGTCGTATATGGATTTCAGGAGACATATTCTCTAACACGCCCTCTGAGAAAATACAACTAAACTATGTCCAGAGAGAAGCTGAAAAGCGGCTATCCTAGCGCATCAACGAGATATTAATAAAGGTCTATATTCATAGTCCGATCTTATATTTGAGACCGTCTTAAGTTCATCTTCAGATACTGTTAGATACAAATACAGATACAAATTATTTCATTGGCTACGGGGTATTTGAAAGTGAACTTAAGACGGTCTTAAATATAAGACCTGACTATGGTCGATATTCATAGTCGAGTCTTATATTTAAGATCGTCTTAAGTAGAGATCCTTAAACAGATATCGGCCAATGAGTGAACGATTGCTGATTAGCTCGCGTCGCATGGAGTAAAACCGGAAGTGAGAGAGAAAGATATATATTTATCGTAACCAAGTATTCATAGTCAGGACTTATTTGTAAGAACATCTTAAGTTCAGACTTAAAACGCTCTCTAGTTTCATAATCGACGAATAAGCAAACATTTGGGCAAATTCTCAAGTTGTAACTTGATCAAGACGATCTTATTGTAGAACGCCTTATTATGTTTCATAAACATTTCTTATTTGACATAAGCACAGACTTAAGATGTTTCTATTGCTTGTTATTTCATAGACTACGTTTACACGGCTTCTAAAGCCAGCGGCACACGGTGCTTGTTTTCATGCTGATTGCTTGCTGGATGAAAATACTGCGTTCTGATTGGTGAATTTCCACCCATCTTCGGAAATGTACCAATCACAACGCAATATTTTCATCTAGCAAGCAATCCAGCACGAAAACAAGCACCGTGTGCCGCTGGCTTTAGTAACACTAATGTTATAACTCCTACTTAAGGTGAGTTACGTTTACATATTTACGCTTATCTTATTGTCACCAATCTGAAATAACTTACCAACTTTCGAGTGAAGTGAGTCAAGGATCTCCATTAGTGTCCAATATAAACCCAGACAGCACACGGATGTCCATTGGACGTCCGTTATATGTCCATTTTCTTTTACAAAAGACGTCCATAGGACATACATAGGACGTCCGATGGACGAACATCGGAGATCCTACAGGTCCGATGTTCAATAAGGACATCTTTGTTACGTCCAATTATGTCCACGGACGTAAATCGGACATATGGACATAAATTGGGTGTGAAACGTACATCCATTAGATGTCCGGTACTGTCTGGGAAAGGACGAAAAATTAAATGATTGTGATTGTAGTCTGAATATAAAAGAATTAGAATGTAAAAAGAATAGTATGTAAATAAATCAACAAATAAAGTGAACTTTTAGATTATATTATGAATTTGAAAATTATAAAATATGTATATATCTATATAGTAAAATTTATATAATAAAATATAATATTTAACTAAAAGTGAAATTAAAATTTTAGGTTATTAATTTTGGAAAAAATTAATCATGGATAATATGCAAAGTGTACGCTCGTTTGCCATATATTTGAAAATAGTAGAAAATATGACTATGCAATATACAGGGTGTCTCAGAACTTTGGGACAGGCATTTAGCTCTATGTCTCTACGGAGCCCGTAGGGACATAGAACTAAGGCCCGTGTCACGATGGCGTCTTGGCGCTTTGACGCCGCACGACGGTCAGCGCGAGCCGCGTTATTGCTCAGCCCCTACGCACACAACTTGCCGCGGAGCGTCTATAGGCCGCGTGGAAAACGTCTAACTTTGCGTTATTATAATTAAAAAACTATTACGATTTTCACATTATGGTACAGGACTTTTTTGTTCCTCTCACTTAGCTCTATATCCCTACGGAGCCCGTGTCCCAAAGTTCTGAGACACCCTGTATATTATATGTACGAAATATTTTGATTAAACGGCGAAAGCGTCAAAAAGAAATTATATTACAACTTTACTTGAATTCAATACCACCAAATCATTTGCTTGATCTCGGACCCGTATTACAATTTTCACGACAAAGGCCGGTATTCATAGTCGGATCTTATATTTAAGACCGTCTTAAGTTTATCTTCAAACTTTGTACAAAGCATTTCATTGGCTATAGAGTATCTGAAAGTGAACTTAAGACTGTCTTAAATATAAGACCTGACTATGAATACCAGCCATAGTGTTCGTTTATACGTCTTCTTTACGTCGATGTAGAAACTCTAATACACGTATTCATAGTCAGGCCTTATATTTGAGGCCTCTTTATATCCATCTTTAGATGCTGCACGGATTATTTTATTAGCTACAGACTATATGAAGATAAACTTAAGGAAGTCTTAAATATAAGGCCAGACTATGAATACGTCCACATGGCCGGTACCCAGACAGCACCGGGCATCGAATGGATGTACGTTTCATATCCAATTTATGTCCGTATGTCTGATTTACATCCGTGGACATAAATTGGACGAAACAAGGATGTCCTTATTGGACATTGGACCTGTAGAACGCCCGATGTACATCCATCGTACGTCCTATGTCTAAAGTTGTGACAAACGTATGTCCTATGGAAGTCTTTTGTAAAAAAATGGACATATAATGGACGTCCAATGGACATCTGTGTGCTATCTGGGTATTCATAGTCGAGTCTTATATTTAAGACCGTCTTAAGTTCCTCATCAGATATCCCGTAGCTAATGAAATAATTTATACAGCATCTGAAGATTAACTTAAGACAGTCTTAAATATAAGATCCGACTATGAATACCGGCATAAAGCCCAGTCCAGAATAGGTTGCAAATACCCAGTTGCTAGTGAGTTCAAATATTACAATTAGAGAGGAACGTGAGAATAGCCAACACGGTGTTTTCGACGACACCGATTTTTCGCACTGGGAAAGGCCGCCATCTGCATCCATTTTGAGAGGGGAACTACGAGGCTACATCCACATTCAGGTTTCAGCGGTAAAACCTGTATGTGGTGGCAGTCCGTGCTACATCCATTTTTAGGCGGTTTATGTCCGTGCTAAAACCATAATAGCATATTTGACAAGCACGGTCTCGCACATTGTTACGCGTTTATAACATGAATTAACATGTTAACATGTGCAAAAAAAAAGAATTGACATTGTGTATGATTAATATCATGAAGATCATACAAAGTATCCGGTAACTAGCTGCCAACCCGAAGTGTGAGGGTAGATTGGGTTGAGATAAACATAAAAGTCCCATACCATTTTGCGAGATTCGCAATAATTATTGAGTTATGAATGACAGAAATCTGAGGAGTAAAAGCGTGCCGACATAGATGATTCGAAAAGCATTGCAATTGCTCAGGGCAGCGATCATGAATCTTTTCCCTAGCGTGAACTAATAAAAAGTGAAAGACTTCTGTGAATCAGTGAAAAATGAAAAATTTTATATGAATTTGTGAAAATCGAAACATTTCACACGACAATTGAGTCGTTCAACATGGCAGTTGCGCGTTCTGGATAATTCAATGAATACCAAAGAAATCAAATTGATCAAAATAATAATGTCCGTGTAGTCCGAAGGATATTACGTGACACGCAAAATCCGTTTGATATAATATCCAAAGAAAATGTTTCAAAATATGTATGTACAGGTAATATAAACCTTATGTACCGACGAGATATACTATAAAGACTGATGACCTGATGATACGGGATTTAGCGTACCAGAGAAATTTCCCTGGTGAGGCACTCGGTTGAAAGAGACCGTCTCGCATTTAGCGCAGTAAAATTTAATGGAAACTAATACTTTTCAATCCTTTTCTTCGGATCAAAAAGATTCAGAAATCAGACATATTCAAAATGTCAATACTTTTTAATACGTTTCAATTCGACATTTTATACAGAAAAGTAGGACGAAGGGAATGGGATGCGGGCAACGATACATCATGCGTCCCCAGACGTGTCAAATCGTTTATTATAGAGGAGACTTTGATACGACAACATGTATTCGAATATTTAATCGTCCCATGGACCACTTATATATAATAAAAAAAAAATTAACGCTGATAAATGAACGATTCGTATCAATTTTTTTTTTCTTATAGAGCAATGAAAGAGTAAATCAGTATCGAAAATCGAATACCGATTAATACCATAAATCAGTGTCAGAAAATTGTCCAAGTGCAATGACAATTTATTCTCATTTTTCAGGTACTTACCCCTCTAATCTCATTCAACAAATTAACTCGGATAAACAAATGATTCGTATAAATTTTTTTTGTCTTGTAAAACAATGAGAACATAAATCAATACCGAAAATCAAAGACCGTTCAATATCTAAATTTTTCATCAAATTAACGCGGATAAATGAACAATTTGTATCAATCTTTTTTTCTTTCATAGAGAAATCAAAGACTAAATCAGTATCGAAAACCGGATATTGATTAATACTATAAATCAGCATTAGAAAATTGTCTAAGTGCAATGACAAGTTGTTTTCATCTTGCAGGTACTTACCCCACTAATTTACTCAACAAATTGAGTCAGGTAAAAGAACGATTCGTATTCAATTTTTATTCTGTTATAAAGAAATTAAAGAACCAGTCAGTACCGAAAATTGAAGACCGATCAATATTGAATTTATTCATCAAATTAACGCGGATAAATGAACGATTCGTATGAATTTTTTTTTCTTATAGAGAAATGAAAGAGTAAATCAGTACCGAATATCGAATATCGATTAATACCATAAATCAGTGTCAAAAAATTGTCCAAGTGCAATAACAATTTGTTCTCATTTTTCAGGTACTTACCCCTCTAATCTTATTCAACAAATTAACTTGAATAAACGAATGATTCATATCAATTTTTCTTGTCTTATAAAAGAAAAGAGAGAATAAATCAGTACCGAAAATTGAAGACCGATCAATATTTAATTTATTCATCAAATTAACGCGGTTAAATGGATGAGTCGTATCAATTTTTTTTCTTGTAGAGGAATGAAAGAGTAAATCAGTACCGAAAATCGAATATCGATCAATACCAGAAATCAGTGTTAGAAGATTGTCCAAGTGCAATGACAATTCGTTCTCATTCCCGAGTCTTTTCCGAGTCGAAATATTAATTCTACATTGATCCTGCAAATTGCATCCAATTTGAAAAATCAATGTAGAATATCTAGGTGCGCAATAGTGAACAAGCTTTGTCCTACCTGAACGTTACATCTGGCTACTCTCGCCCATGATGAGTCTTCAACAGCAACGTATTCCGCAGTTATTTAATACTCGTTTATTTCGATAATGTATATGTACTTAATCCTTATATTCTTAATTTAAATGAGCAATTTTTGTTGATTTTGATTATATATTCGCTTAATAGCGCAAGAAAGAGAACAAAGATAAAAACGTAAATAGAACTGCCTTTGTTAGAACTGCGCGTGAGATAAATATATAAGGATTAAATAATTATATAAGAATTAGAGGAAATGGGGGATGAAAAACACTTTTTATTCTCATCATTCTTAAAGTTCTTTTTTCCTTTCTTCTCTTTTTTTTTCTTTTCTTTTTTCTAATGAGAATGATGAGAATTGTAGCTCTTAAAAGAGCTGAAGCTGCAAAAAGACAACGGTTATGTCTAATAATGCTGTTTGATTAATAGAGATTTTAATTCTGATTCGGTACAATAAGAAAGATAAACAAGAATGAGAAACGGACATTCTAGCAGATTCTAAACGAAAACAGCAATCTGAACATTATTAGACGAATAAAAATCAACACTTGTAAAATTTATATCAGATTCTAAGATCATTATTCATAATTTTTTTAAATTATGTGCAATTTTTCATTGAGAACATAATTAAAAATTTGTATTCATAAACCTTAGCTTGTCCCAGCAACCTTGCTTGAATAGACATTCATATTTTACGAGAAAAGAAAAGTAGAACTCATGTTACGTGAAATTAGTTTAACGAATAATCAAATCTCAAGCTATTTTTCAGATGATAAACTATGAATGCTGATCTAATTTCGACTCGGGTATGTCCTTACTTCGAATAAGGTCCGTTAAAATTAGAAAAATCCTGCGTAATAATAATTACTCGAGGTACCTCGAATACCATACATGATGTATCGCTGTCCTCGGCTACGTCTCTCGGCGCGCTCCGAGTCCTCTCTCCATCCTGACTTCTCGATCCGACGTCCTCCTTCTGGTTACTCCGTCGCAGCACCCCCGGATACTCCATCGTAGCACTGGCGACGACACTGACTCTAGCTCTAACACTCGCGCAAGTAAGATTCAGGAACAAAGAAACGCGTATTAACCGACACTGCTCTGCGTCGCGGCATGCGCGTCGTTCGTCGGCCCGAGGCGCAATGTCCTTTCCGCAATCACGGAGTCATATATAAGCGTACGAAAACAAACAATCGGGAAGGCACGGTTACCCCCCACCTTGCCGATCAATGTTAATGCCTGCGTCGTCCGTTAGCTGAAAATGAAAACAACTCGTGTTTTCAAAGCATGCCTAAGAGAGAGAGTCGCTTCAAACTTCACAATAATTATTTACGTCTGTTCCAAGAATCATATTACGCTGAATTCAAACTGTCTCTATTTTGACATGACATACACGAGATCTGCGATCACATCATTGATCTTTCTTTGGACAAGAAAATCCTGAGAGGAACGCTGTTCGAGAATATCACATTTTATGTTTCAGGTGCCTTGCAGATTATCGAATCCGATGTAACAGATCAGGGAAAGTATGAATGCGTCGCTATGAATAACATGCGTGGGTACGGAGTACTCCAAGTCAATCACGTTATATGTGAAACGTATGTATATTTAATATTATATAAAACTTACCTTTTTAAACAAAAAGGTAAAAAAAAAGGCGCCAAGTAAAGCGCAACACGTATTGTGTTATTTTTAGAAGTATCAAACTCAAATTATTTTTTTTATTATACATATGTGTACATAAGTTTTTACAAGTAAAACTTATAACTATAATAAAACTCTGCAACACTTTTCTACTGTACAAAAGAAGTGATATATTAGAACAGTAGCGCCAACTAAAAAATTCCGACTTCTTATTCCCGGAAAATTCGTCAAACGTCAAACGAAGGGCAAAAAGTGTCGTCGCTCGCGAGCCGATCAACACAATCGGCGCGATGTAAACATTGCGGACCTCGGCGGCGGTTGAAGCAAGAGAGACTTGCCCTTGGGCATCTTTTCTTTTCTCGAAGGTTCCGGGACAATGAGGGAAGTGCGAGGAGGCCTTTCAACTGTACGCGACATTGATTTACTGCTTATTGGTTATTGAAAATAAAGAAAATTATTCTGTCGAAGCATCAGATATTTCTTAGCTTTATGTTAATTAAAGAGGAATGTGTACGTTTAGAAAATATGTTAGCAACTAATTGTACAGAATGTCAAAGTTGTTGTAAGGCCGTTTTCGGAGAATAATTAAGGGTCATGGTAGCGTTAAAGAGTGGAATTTCATCTCATGCGAATTTTGTCTCGTTCTTATTAAATGTTAGATTATCCGCTGCGGACAATAACTCTTCTACTTTTCATCTAATCTTCAATGATAATAAATAACATTTAATTGCATTCGTTTGGCTTTTTTTTATTTCGAAAATAAAAAAATATATACCAGGGTGAGATTTCACCCATGACAACATCAACGTGATTTTCTTTAATGCTTTTTTTAAAAGTTCAAATATTTCGTCGACTCGCGGGATATTTATAAACGGAGTCTCGTCGCGTTAATTAACATGTGCTCCTCCGAGCGGATCAAATGCTCACCGACGGCCATTGTCAGTGCCACGAGCGAATGTCCGGAGCGGACGGGATGTTGAATTGAGAAGCAGGACGAAGGGAACGGGACGCGAGCAACGATACATCATGCGTCTCCAGACGTATCAAATCGTTTATTATACAGGAGACTTTGATACGGCAACATGTATGTAGAGGATTTAATATTTAATATGTACTTTTATTTTCCCTGCTCCTCACCCCCTGCTCTTTTTAGACCTTCGGGCATAGTCTGGCATAGAGATAGTAACTATGGTTGCAGCACGGACATAAACCGCCTGATAGTGGATTTAGCACGAACTTCCACCACATGCAGATTTTACCACTAAGACCTAAAAGTGGATGTAGCATCGTAGTTCTCCTCTCAAAATGGATGCAGATGGCGCCCATTTCCAATGCGAAAAATCGGTGTCGCCGAAAACGCCGTGTTGGCCGCTTTCAGCTTCCTCTCTGTTACAACTGAAAAGAATTAAAAAGAAAACTATATTACTAATAGAAACTGAAAAAATCGTGTTGGCGATTTTCAAAATTTATAAATCGATCCTTGAATCGATTCAGTTCCAAAAAATAAATTTGAAATCAATCTTTTAGGCTCCGATTAATCGATCTTCGATAAAATCGATTTAAAATCGACATTCTTAGTATGATGTACAAATCCGACCGAACAACTTCCTCGTATGTACATCGGGTAATGCGAATGCCTGCGGTATATCAACTTTGAAGCTTCATATCTTGGGAATAACTTATGCAAAAGACAAAAATAGGTAGTGTTTTGAAAATGTCTCGAGAAGAGCTACAAAATATGCAATAAAAAATAGGGCAGGTTCCATTTAAGATTTTAAAGTTGACCTTTACGTAACTTTCAAACGACAATCCAAAATCAAGCCAAGGTCACCACAAGATATCCCCCTCTGGACCCTACAACTTTTGTTTGTTTGCTTGAAACATTTTTCGCAATCTGTCTTATCTGACAAAATATTTCCGATTATCGATTAAAATGGACCACCCTATATAATAAGATTTTAAGTTAAATATATATTATAAATATTAAAATTTAAACTGGAAAATAATTATGTAACAATAATATGTTCAATACAATGCTCCACAATAATTATTTACATTAGTAGAAAAAAAAATTAAAGTATGCTAAAATAAAACTTATTGATAAAATACATAATTATATGAATAATAATGACATAAATAATAAATATGCCATATATAAAAAATATAAATATATATTTTTCTATAATACATTAATTAATAAATATATTGTTACACAAACTTGTATACACCCTATATATTTCTTTTGTATAGAAAAATTATGGCATTAAAATTAATACCCTATAAAAATTATAAAATTATGTATATATAAAAATTATGGTATGTTATATATCAAGCATTTAACCTTTCTTAATCAACTAATTCTAGCAATTGTTGTAGGATATTTTCTAAGTTTTCATCATTATTCTCCAATAAGATATCCCATGTATTTACATCATCCAAATCACATTCTGTTTCTGCATCGTCTACACCTTAAATTAAAATTTAATAAATTCACTCATAAATTTTTTTGGTACAATTTTAGTTTATCTATGTCATACCTAATGTATAAATCCATCCACGCTTTTGTCTGATTTCATCAGAACAAATTATACGAATAGTTTTACATATATCTCCATAGTTTTTTGTGAACCACTCAATATCACTTTTTCTTCTGAGGTCGCTTACTATCCATATTGGTTTGTCCTTTGCTGTAGAACGTTTACATATATTTTTATAAAAAGTCATGTTTTAATGTTATTTTAAATATTTTTTTACTAACATTTTAATTTTTTTAATCAATATTACATTTTAAATTATATACCTTTATACATATCAATAGCAGCTCGACAAAAATAACCACTATCTTTTGCTCTCATACTCTCCCCCCATTCACACATTTTAATGCGATATTCCTCCTTGTATTTTCCATCCCCAAGCAATTGATCCAAATCAAGATTCAATAACTTGGCCCAGTGAGTTTTTATAGGTCCTGATAATCGTATAATTGTGCTTCCTTGTGGACTAAGCCTGGATTTTATAAAAATTGCTTAATTTAAGAAATAATAAAAAAAAGCATATACATCATTCAATGGATAATTGATATAAATTCATTAAAATGAAAAATTTATTCTGCAAATATTCTACAATATTTATTCTACAATACTTATAGATTTGATATTATACAAATGCTTTTTAAATTTACATATTAAGAATAGTCTTTAGTAAAATTGCCTAATGTAAAGACATAAAAATTATATAATATAACATTATATTATATATGTTACATATAACAATTATATAATTTTAAGTTTATGAAATATTATAAATACCTTTTATGTAAAATATCAGTAATATAATCCTTCCCTGACTTTCTTTTGCCACTAAATAATAAGATCCTTTTTGGTTTTAAAGTGTCTGCCATCTCTATCAAATATGTAAAATGAATGACACATAGAAACATACAAATAGTTCACATTTCATTTACTGATTGATTTATTTACGTTTATATCTTACTGGCTGTTTTCCAATAAGGGTCACAGAGGATACAGTGTAACACTGCGTTCAACATAGAATGTTCTTCTTCCAACAATGACAGTATTACTGCGTTATACAACAAAAGTCAAAGTTGCAATATATAAATTATATCAATACTACCAACATTTCGAAATATTTTATCTAATAAATGATAACCATTCTTATTCCTTAAGTACGAACGTAACCTACAATAATAAATATATTCGACTAGTGTGAATGTAACCTACAATATATAAATATGTTGCTACATGTATTCTTATATTATACTGACTTATGCAAGGAAACATAATAGCACCTATAACGAAAGTTGAAGATAAATATGAAAAAAGTAATTAAAACTTATTATTTTTTATGTCTTGTTAAGATAAATTTCTTCATACCATCCTCTTTCTATTTCCTTTCAGAGCTATTTGTACGTAAACATTGCAATAATGTAATTGACCTTTTGGAAAATACTTATTCCTTTAATTGTTTTAGAATCATATGCTTAGGGTGCGTTCGGGGAGCACGCTGTTAGCGCAAACATTTCATTCTTTGTTGTTCATTAAATATAAATATACAACATTAAATATAAATATATAATAAATATACAACAAGGCAATGATGCACACTCGTGGAACTTTTCCCACGTGAAAGCGCGTTGTGCGCATGCGTAAGCAACGTCACAGCTTACATCAGCTGTTTCCACGGTGTAGTCGTCATAGACATAGTAAGAATAGACTGCGCGTGTACTCTTGTGAAGACTGAAGATCAGGTAGAAAGAGACAGAAAGCAAGTGCCGAGTATCTTTCTTTCTCTGCTCACGCATGCGCAGTGATGCGTAGTAATATATAACGTGCTATATACATGATGTTAGGTTAAAAAAAGTTGTGTAATGTTAAATAAAACCGTTTAAAATTTAGAGATAAATGTGTTTCAACTATTATAAACTACGTGTAAACATTTATATTGAAACGATTAAATATTTTATACATGAATATGTGTGGAAAAGTTGTAATAAAAATATCAATATTACAAAGTAATATAATCTTTATTAAAAAAATATATATATATTTTTATATAAGTTGTTGTTTATTTATTGATTTTTGAACAAGGTTATTTTATTATTTTTCATCCGAACTCGTATCGAATCTGCGAATGATGTACTTTCATGTTTTAAAATTAAATTAAAAAATGTTTTCAAAATTAATTTAATTATTTGGTTTCGGTGATCAAAAAGTGGACTTTGATCGAATATATGATTATTATAGTCAAATATATGCACAGGAATGGAGCGTACAGCCTCACATATGAGATGTGCAAGAATATTTTTATTTGTAAATAGTCTATGTTGATTACATCGTACTATTTTATATGCTATCTTACATATCGTAATCACATCATTTGATGCTTCACATAAGTTGCCTCGATCCTTTATCTGTATAAGTTTACTGGTACGCTCTATATTCAACTGTTTATATGTATTATTTGAAAGTAATTGCTTGCATTCTGAACAATTAATTCTTTTTATAATAGTTTTAGCAACATATCCTGATATGTAAGCAATGATTTCTTCAGCATATTCATTAACTTTTTTATCATGTACACAATTATGCTCAATAAAGATAAGATCTGAAGGTTCGTCTTCTAAAGATCTTTCTTCTAAAATAGTATCTTTATTTTGTTCTACATGTTCGTTAATTGTTTGTATATCATTCGTAGATTCATGTGAAAGTGTTAGCAATACAGTATCTTGTGGAATGCAATTAGCATTCAATGAGACTGATACATTCGCTAAATACAATATCTTTCTATATGACATCTTAAATTGCTTTACGCTAGGATTATTATTCCAACCATGCATTCTTCTAATCAATGAAAAAAAAGTTTCGATATGGTCCTGTGATAATTTATAAGTAAGAAGAAAGTTTATTACATTTACATTAAATAATTCTTCTGCTAATGCAATAACGTTCTGCAAATTAATTATAAATCCAACGAAACCTGTTTTGAGGATGCTTTGCAATACGGGAACATCATTTATTGTTAAGGAAGCAATGTAATGCATAAAAGTTTTAGCTTTATCTTTAATAGTACATAATGTATTTCTTGTTATTGCATGTTTATTTTCAGTTTTATTGTATATGTTACGTGAATTTAAGATATCAAATATGTCATTGAAAGTTTTATAAAATGTTGCAGTAGTTGAAGCTCCTATAAATCTTGGTTCTTTTAATTCATATTCTAAAAACGTCAATGCATCAGCCACAGAATTACTTAATGTTTGTGCTGCTAGATTAACTTTCATCTTTTCATTAAAAACTGTATATGTCTTTTTCGCATTTTATTGGCAACAACATGTAATTTTTCCACAGTTTGCACATTTACTAATTCTTTCAGAAAGTTCCAACTTATTACATTTTTGTCTTTATCTTTAATAACCCCTTTACTAATTGCATTCCTCACAAGCTTCAACATGTGACATGCATCATAAAAAATATAAATATTTTTAGATTTGTCAATAGAATGCTTAAAATACGGAACAATATGTTCAAAATTGACGTGTTTTAACTGTGCGCCTAGTATCTCGCACATTGCAATATTAGAAGTTGCTCCATCAAATGTAATACTAATAACGTAAATTGCTTTTTCATGGAGAATACTTAAGATGTTATTTAATAAATTTGCTTTTTCCTTACCATTTAATGCCTCGATAACGTAAAATGCAATTGGGATTTTAAAATGATCATTTATGCACACTAACATAAAAAGAAGGATATGGGTAGCAAGTGGCAGACTGTCAGACTTACTATCTTTAATACCCAATTCAATAAAACCGTGTAATTCTTTGCCGTCCCAATCAACTTTTTTCTTAATATTCATTTCATCAAAAGTTATATTGAAAACTAAGTTTTTTCCTTTCTCTCTAGCATTTTGCACCTTATCGAGTATAGTTTTAAACGATTGTTCAGATATACCGGAATTACTACGAATTGTCTGCGTCCACATGCGCAGTGTACTGGGGTGAGATAAACTTTTTAAAAACATTTTTCTTACATACAAATATGCTGCAGGCGAATGAAAATGTAACGTGCATGCAAAACTTTTTAAACTTTCGGGGAACGACTTCTTTCGCTTCTTATTTAACATTGTAAGTAGCAACTGTTGCATAATAGGTGACAATATATCCTAAATAAAGAAAAAGGAAGTACAAAATATAGATATAAAAACAGAAGAAATCAAGGAGACAAATGGTTGTACGCATAGACATATACATAATAACTTATTTAGAACGAAGATATAACATCATTAGTGCATTTGTAGATTTGTAGATTGAGAGGGTATATGTATACGCACAACATTTGTTATACCATATTTTTAACATGATGTAGAAATCAAGTATTGTTCTACCATTTGCTTCATTATCATGGACCTTTCTATAAGAGTCAATATTATGATGAAGTCACATTGTGATTGGAGAGTTATCATGAACTTTCTTATAAAAGAATAAACATTGTGGACAATGTGAATTTCAAATCTTTCTGCGAATGGAAAATAGCTAAACTCAACTTACTTTGATTGCATGTATACCATTATTTGTTATAAAGTTTTTACTTTTCAGGTCCTGAAGCAAATCTTTATAAGTTAAAACTTTCTTCTGCATACGGTGTTTCTTTTGCCACATATTTTTTGTTTCATTTCGAATATATGACACATATCTTACAAACTGCTCCCATTTTGCATCAGACACAAAATCTGTTTTACGGAAGCTTTTTGTAGCATGTTTAGAAGTGTTTACAAATATTTTTTTAATTTTTGAGTTTCTAAAATTCTCTTGCGACAATTTCCTGAAAATAAAATTTTGATAATTTATAATTTGTTGGAATAATACTCGATAGGAAAAATTATTTAAATCTTTAGATTTCTCACCTTTTTCTAATGTGATTATTACTGTGGTTGCTATGGATGTTTATGTTATTAACATCTTCTGCTACATGTGTATGTATATCTGCATCTGTGCCCGTAATGGAATTCTTACTCGTATTTTCACTATAAAACAAAAAATATTCACATACATTAATGTTTTATCTTATATATTACGATAATTTTATTTTCCCTTTAGGTGTATATCTTAGTGTATCTTTAGTGTTTCTTACCTATTTCTTTCATTGTCTATGCCATTATTTTCTGCTGTATTTATATTTATATCTGTGCTTAAATTGGTATCTGTATCCTCCTCCACATGTTTACTACAAGACAAAATATTTCAATGTAATGGATTTATTGCATCTTCCTGTAAGATTATTACATGTATGTTCTTATTTATAATTTAACATTCTCACTAATTTTCTTCCGCGAAAATTAATGGAACTGCAGTCTTTCTCAATATTTTATTTTGTTTATATTCATTCATTTCATGATAGTCATTTTTTGTAAAGTGGTCACTGCATATTTTTGCTCCTTTGTAAAATACATCACGGCCAATAACGTGAAACCATTTTTTTCGCATTTCTTCATTTTTTGGGATTCTGTAAATTTTTTACATATATATTTTCACTTATATATATGTGTATATATATTATTAATTACGATATGTTTACATTCATATTGAATACAAATATATTTTTTAAATTACTTATGAAATGATTGTGGATAAAGAGGGTTTTCTTCCACACCACAAATATAGCACGTAGTAACCATTTTTTAAATTATTTTATTCCTTGTTTTCTCCGTGAATATGTATATGCTATGGTGCGTCGACGGATTCGATTAACTGTAGTCAACAAAAACTTTCAGCAACACACCAGCACTGACACAACACTGACAGAATAATCAGTTTTTCTTGAAATGAAAATGCGAAACGAATGTCCGAGACATTAGAAGGAAAGTAGAGAAATAAAGCTGCAGAGAAACGCGGACAGAGCAGTTAGAGAAGATCTTCCAATGTGATTCTAACCTTCACGCTACCCTTAATCCTGCTATGACCGACATGCGCGTGTGATCGCAGGGAAATTAAGCGCGTAATAATACGTTGATATTAACTTTATAAAACAGAGCATCTTCTAAATCGTGCAGCAAATAAACTGGGAACCGACTACGCACCTCTTTTCAACCGCATACAGCTGTTTTACTACTCTTTTTCGCTCCCCACTCTTTCCCCACTCCTTTCCTTGTGTGAGAAAGAAAGATACTCGGCACCTATTGTCCGTCTCTTTCTACTTGATCTTCAAGTTTTGGCCTTCACACGCAGTCTATTTTTACTATGTCTATGGTAGTCGTACTAGGTGCAAGAATCATACATAGAAATATAGGGACGGAGCATATCGTTGCGGGGGGAAACTATTACGAAAGGGAGCGGAGGTAAATCTGCCATTTTGGTGTGCCCGTTTTTAATTGGCTGTTATTCTGCACAAGCTTCGTGATATGATCAAAGCATAGATATAGGAATATAAAGACGGAGCATATCGTTGCGGGGAGGAAGTTATTACGAAGAGGAGCGGAGGCAAATTTGTCATCTTGGGCCGTGTTCTAAAATTCACTGCCAGTACTAAAAATATATAGTTTGTGTCATGCAAACTATAACTTTTCAGTGCTGGCAGTGAATTTTGGAACACGGTTTGGGGTGCCCGTTTTTGATTGGCTGTTATTCTGCGCAAGCTTCCTGATATGTTGATCAAAGTGTGTGACAGTTAAGCCAGCGGCACACGGTGTTTGCTTTCGTGCTGGATTGCTTGCTTGATGAAAATATTGCGTTCTGATTGGTTCATTTCCATCCATCTTCGGAAATGCACCAATCAGAACGCAGTATTTTCATCCAGCAAGCAGTCCAGTACGAAAACAAGTACCGTGTGCCGCTGGCTTTACAGAGAAGAATAAGATAAAGGTGCAAAAAATGGTATTGTTTTGTACCTTCATGCAAAAATAGATCTGACTGTTAAAATTGGAAGCAAAATATTGATAAAGAAAACTGCCCAAAAATTATATTCTATAGGTGATAAAATTTTATATTGGGTGCTTCCGATAACCTGGTTAGAGCATGGACATAAGAATATATGGACGGAGCACAGAGCTGCGTGGTGGTCCATGAAGGGTGAGGGGAAAGAAATGTCTATTGTAAAGCCCCTTGCACAATGTCAGGCAACAGGCAATAGGAATAAAAATAGATCAATCACAATAGATTATTCTTGTAATAGTCGATTGTGATTGGTTTATTTTTATTCTTATTGCTTGTTGCCTGACATTATGCAAAGGGCCTAACGGATATGAAAAACTAAGATAGCGACAATCGCTAGTGTCACGGAATGTTATATATTTCAACATAAAAATAATTACTGTAAATAATAAAGAAACAACTAATATTAATATTATTAATCTATTAATTAAACAAATATTAATATTAAAATTTAATTGATTAATAATATTAATATTATTAATCAAATAAATTTTTCAAAGTAAATTCCCAGATAGCACACGGATGTCCACTGGACGTCCGTTATATGTCCATTTTTTTTACAAAAGACGTCCATAGGACATACGTTTGTCACAACTTCGGACGTACATCGGACATGAACGTCCAATGGACGTATATCCGACGTCCTACAGGTCCGATGTCCAAATAAGGACATCCTTGTTACGTCCAATTTATGTCCACGGACGTAAATCGGATATACGGACATAAATTGGACGTGAAACATACATCCATTGGATGTCCGGTGCTATCTGGGTTACTTCTATGATTAAATCTTTTGAATAGAATTCTGACATAAAAGGAAAACCACATAATGAAAATAAAGTTAAATGAAATTTTATTATAATAAACTTATTAAATGAGTTTATTTCTCCTAAAAGATGAATATCCTGATTGTTATTTATTAAATGAAAGATTACCCCAGCCTTTATAAACAATAATGATTTAAAAATTGCATGAGTTAATAAATGAAAATATGATAATAAATTAAATCCTACTCTTAAAATTATTATTATTAATCGTAACTGACTCAGTGTTGATAAAGTAATAATTTTTTTTATGTCATATTCAAATCTGGCTATTAGACCAGATATAAACATTGTTAATATTGAAATTAATGTAAGCTAGAAGAATATGTAATGAAAAGTAGGTAGTTCCATTTAAGAAATTTAAGATGTCCTTCATGTGATCTTCAAGAAACTATTCAATGTCAAACTAATGGCATCATCTTATGCACTCCTCAAAACCATACAACTTTTGTCTGAAATTTTTTTCTACAATAAAAAATAAAAGTTATTTGGGATAGGATTATTAAAATAGGCCACCCTATATACTAAAAATAATAGATACCGGAAAAATTAGCAAGACCTCTGCGCAAGGTGTCGGGGAGGGAATACAGGCGTAGTTCCCCTGACTCCCCTCACCACGGTCCGAACGATAGGCACTCCGCAGGGGTTTTAGCCGGTAAGAGTTCGACATAACCCCCGATCCCCCAAGGGGTCAGGGGTATCCATGAGGATTTCCCCTGCGTGACCAAAAAAAACGACCTCTGCGCAAGGTAGGACGTATAATTAATATATGTATTAAATCTTCGCCTTACTAAACCAAAGATATAAACTATTCTCCGCTATAATTTAAACTTTATAATATAAATTTGTGCTTTTGATTAAAGCAAAGCATGATGTGAATAATGCTCTGCTTTACTACGGTCCCGTAGTATTTTTTGACTCCAAACCCTCTCCACTGTGTGTGCGTGTATTGTGACCCTAAAAGGACCAATTTTGTGTGTATGTGTTTCTTCAGTCAAAATTCTGCCCCCCTCCATTCTCCCTCGCTGTCTCTCTCCACTATTCTTCTTCTCCTTCCCCTTACATTAGTTATTTTCTTGCCATTACTGCAGAAGATGCCAAGCTTATAAGATGATGGAGAGAGACAGTGAGAGAGAAAGAGAGAGAAAGAGAGAGAGAGAGAGAGAGAGAGAGAGTGTGGAGGGGGGCAGAATTTTGACTGAAGAAACACATACACACAAAATTGGTCCTTTTTAGGGCTACAATACACGCACACACAGTGGAGAGGGTTTAGAGTCAAAAAATACTACGGGAGTGATGAACCGTGAGGTTCTTATCTCTACTGTGACACACACACACACACACACAAACACACACACACACACACACACATGCACGCACGCACGCATGCATGCACACAAAAGGCGTAAATCCGACCTCCGCGCGGTACACCTTGAGTAATGCGAATGCCGGCGGTATGTCAACTTTGAAACTTCATATCTTGGGAATGGCTTACGCAAAAAACAAAAATAGGTAGTATGTAATAAAAAATAGGAGATTCTATTTAAGAAAATATCGATCACATTGACCTGGCCTTGATAAAGTCACTCAAAGTCAAGTCCATATTTTTATCATGTGTCCCCCTCAATATTCCACAACTTTTGTCTGAAACATTTTTCCATATTTAAAGCCGTTTCCGAGACCCAGGGGTGGGGTCGGACTTTACAGATACCCTGTATACGTGATTAAAGAAATATTTTAATTATTAAAAAAATAATTGCTTCCTTAAGTTTTAATTAACGTGTTTTTACTCCTTCATTACTTTTTATTACGTATATACATTCGAATGTTTTTATATACTTGGTGTTTTTTTTAATTACGTGTACAGATGTGTACCGTAAACTGTCATTAATTAGAATTAAATAATCAAAATCTTGGTAATTTCTGCGCTGTCTAATAATCTTATATTGCTAGTATTACTTTTTTTTGTTAGAATATCAGAAAGACACAGTTGACGTCAAAAATAACTATAATTTTTAATGAGGTGGATCATAAAAAATTTATTTGAATGCATAAGCAATATGTCTACAGTTTACTGTCATTCTAGTTCGAAAGAAACGTTTTTTCCCTCAAAGTGCAAAGTGATTCGCATTATTTACGAAACAATATCGATATTCTCCTTCGTGATCTAATAATCGAATTGAGCCATTTTTAATATACTAATATAGCACAAGTCAGGACTTGACCTCGCCGAGAAAACATTTTGCGAAAAATTCGTATTGTCATAGTACTCTTCGATCATCTTATCATCTATTCAATCTTTGTACTCATGTCTATTTTTTTCACATAGACAATGTGATTCAAGCAAAAAGTAAGATTTCGATTTAACATTTCTCAGGAAAATGTACTTATAATTTTGGTTATATACGAGTACAATGCGCAATAATCAAAATTTTAAGTACCTCGGTCGAAATGACAGGATCTATCGACTATTCGCTAATTAAAACAACGTGCAATTATGAACGGCTTGTAAAACAGTTTGTTGACTGTGGATATCGCAGGTGTACTGTTTATCACTTGGTTTCCAACTGGACTTAATTACCGTACCCTTAATTACTGACGTGTTAATGACAGGCGGTAATGATAAATCTTTCCATTCGAGGAAATGTCAATCTCTTTCTCGATAAATTGTAATATTTAGACGTGATACAACCGTATATTTATTTTTGAACTCTCTTTTGTTCCATTGATTATTGTGAATTTATTTTCCTTTTCTAATTCCGCGCAAAGCAACGTCAGGCTTTTAAGTCAACATTCACATTCTACAAAACTGTAGCTGCTTGTTCTGTAATTAGCACGAGTCGCTTCGGTTCAGTAAAAGTGTTCCACAGAACCACTTTATTTGCACGGCCTACTTGTATCGATACTTCTGCCTTCTTATATGAATCTGTGTTTTGCTTTGTTAGTCAATTTTACAGTTATTTCTATGGATAATGACATATCTAAAAATAATATTAAAAGATTTTTTTCTTATTAATGAATGACTTACAATTAGTCTATAAGTTGACGAGTAAATTGTTCTTAGTAACGTCTTTTTAGTAACATTTAGTTAAATATGCTAAGTTTCTCTCCTCTGGTGCCACTTAGTTTTTTTATTTAGAATTTAATTTAAATGTTTAATTTAGATTAGTTCGAAAGATTCCACTCTTTTAAACCTTCTTCCATTGTCCAGCAATTGTTGTGATCGTGAAGCCTTTCTTCGTGAGATTAAAAGATGTCACAATTATTGGGTTGGCCAATAAGTCCGTGCGGTTTTTTACTTATAAATGATCGATGATTATTTTTATAGAAGGTAATAACTATAATGAATTAGCGCCAATAATTTTTGCCGGGTTTGTAGAGATGTGTGTGGCCTAGCGTTGTCATGGTGAAAGACGATGCCTCTACGATTCACCAATTCTGGACGCTTTTCGTGGATCGCTGCATTCAATTTATCCAGCTGACTACAGTACACATCTGAATTGATCGTTCTGTTCTTCGGAAGTAGCTCGTAGAACACAACACCCTTCCAATTTCACTAAATTGATCTTGTTCAGGTAAAGCCCTGTCTTCGAAGTGGTTCGTGGCGGTTTGCTGCGCTGCCCCCACGATCTTTTGCGCTTAATGTTAT